ACAGGGAGGAAAAAGGGATGAGCAAGAGCTGTTTTCCTTTCATGTAGCCGCAGAAGACAGAAGCAGATGGATGACAGGCTCAGCTAGCGTTGCCTGGGCTCCCTAAACACACTCGGATGCAAAATGCACAGACGTATGCTTGGAATTAGAGAAGCAGACTAAACTTTTGTCATTTTCATTTGATGAAACCACAATGTTAACGACTGTTCATATGCCAATATTTGCTATTTATGTGCATGAATGAAGAGACACACATCCTAATGAAAATTCACAAATTTCCAGTCACAAGTTCTTGTAAAACTTTGATCTGCCGAAATAGATTTTTGTCCACTATGATTAATATTTAAGACCTATGATCTAAAATAATCAAAATAAACACATTTTAAGTATCATTTATGTCTTCCTGCCACCAATAGACATGAATTATCATTTGTAATTCATGTTTGAATGTGTGAGAAAGGGCACATTTTCTATGCAAAAGGTTGAAAGATTTAAAGGATAAAACAGAGTAACATCCTGCAATCTAGTCAGCTGTCTTGTTAACAGATTTGATCTCTCTCACTGCTGGAATAAATTGAAGCTATGTCCTCATGTGTAAAACTTAAATTCCTGTACTTCTACCTACTTCCCTTGTAAACCCCTTAATGCAAGTGAATTCCCAACTTTGAGTCTGATTCCTGCAGGAAAAGGTTGTTACCTTGACCTAATACTGTTTATGTGTGGTACATTCACTGATCAGGAAAGAAATCCGATTTTTCAGTTAACTAGATCACAGGTTAAGGTCAGTCCAGGTGGAAATGCATCTCAGCCATCTGCTGATTTCTTGGTGCACCTCTCACTTCAAGGCAAAAATGGTTTTATTGTTCAGTCAAATAAAGATAAATATTTATCATGGACACTCAAAGCTAAATTTGACCAAGTTTAAATTGGTGCATCCGAGCTGCAACAACTGCCAATGCTCTTTACATTCTAGGGCAATTTCCCCCAAAGATGAAATAAATCGATCATCAATCCTAATACCACCATCCTTGTTTAAATGAGATAGATTTTAAAATGCAAGTTAACATCTTAAATTGCTACAAATGTACTAGTTTCTCTAGTATGACTGTGTTAACCGATAGCTCTCTGAAGGCTTTTCACATAAATCAACTCCATCTTTTTTTAAATTAATTTAAGTGGAAGGGGAAGCAAACACATGTGTAGGGTAAATTAAATCAGCCCTACAAATATTGGGCCTGCATGGACATCTGTTTTATGGCAAGTTAGTTGGTCGGCCCGGTCCTGTCTTTATCTAGCCTGCAAAAACAGATTGAAAGTTTGCCTTTTTTACCCAGTATCTCCTGTCCTAATTGTGCCTACACAAATACATTAGAAGTCAAACCCTTTTCACCCATCTAAGATGTTTTATGGCTGCACAGATGATGTTTTATGGCTGATTTCTGAGCTTAAGGTTTTGGAAGGCTTTGAACTGTCAATATTGGTTTCAGCCTATTTTCCTTTAATAACTGTAAATCATTCTGTACAGCCTTCCTGCATTTAGCTATTATCAATTATTTATACAAATATGTAGTATTTACTTAATTTTAAGCTTTTAACAGATACGGAAGATAGCTACAGTAGCTTTGAGTCTTCTTCCTGTGTTAACCACTTTCCCACTGATGAGTGGAGTGTGAAGCGATGTTTGCACTCCTTGACATGACTTAAATATTGTGCATCAACTCAGCAGAAAAAGTAAATTTTTTTTTTTTTTTATATGACCACCTGGATAACAGTAATGGATGATCAGAAGTATTTAGACTCAGATCACCAGCTGCTTTTTTAAGAAATCATATTTCCAGCTTTTATTTTTCAACCACAATTTTACATTTAGATGGCAACCTTACTTTTTTTTTGTAATGTTTATTCAATACAGAACTGCTTGGGCAGATAACTGTTTGGTTTAATTTGGTTTTCGTGTTTAGGTGTCAGAGCCCTCTAACAGCTGTAATAAATCTCCTGCTGGTTGGAGGATGTAAAGATACGTTTCCTTTCAGAAATGATTACCACCTGATGTAGTTTCGTTGGCAGTTCCATTACAGTAATAGATCCATACAAGAGTTGACAAGCACAAATACAACTCTTGGCATTATTTACACCCTTACAAAGCTTCACTGAAAGCTTACACCAATTACCTACCCGTGAATAAAAATCTCCCCCACAGCTGATCCGAGATATATATTATGAATAGAATCTGTGCATGTCAGGTCCCAACTGATTTGTAAATGTAATTGGGACAATAAATAAATAAATACATAAGGTTTTACCAGCTTTGAAAGTTCTGAGGTGAAAATATTTTTGATTAAAGAGGGTGCTTAAGACTGCTTAGGTGTTGAATCACTTCAAATTAATCTGACAGTTTGGAAACTGCTTCAGTGAAATAGGTGGAAGTTTGTGTTTCCTTCTTCTTGGTGAGAGCTGACTGTGATAAACAGAATCCTCCTCCTTAATCCTCCAACTCAGAGAGCCAGGCCAATTACATTTCTCTCAGAACTGGGAATAATATCACATCATATTTTAATGTGATTTAGTTTAAAAATGAGGAAACTTTCAAGATTTGTCGTTTTTTTTGTCTTTTTTTTCATACAACAGTATTTAAGATTTTACTCCTAAGGATTAGAAATGTCTGCAATCTGTATTGAACAATGTGAATTTTATTTTTTTTACTATTTTTTTTTTTTTTTTTGTGAAAATGCATTTAGAGAAAATATTTCAACCTGGGGAGACTCACAAAGTGACAAACATGCAATTACAGTTTATCGAGCTGAATGAATATATTTAGGCGCCCAGATCCCAGCAGAAGACTTAGAGCTGAGCATTGTTTGTAATCAAAGAATGAGCAGGTTTATGAGAATAGAGATGTCATTGAGATTTTCCTATTTTGGTTCAGCTTCAGTTATGATGTTTGATACTGATATAAGTCAAAACAAATTTGATTGGCTGCATTGACCAGTAGGAACAAAACATTGTTGGAATTATAAAACTATTTTAGAGAAATCTAAAATCCCTAATAATTCTTAAATGCTTGAAACTGTATGCACAGTGTTTGAATAAATTAAAATAACATGGATATCTACAAATGATACTCATTTACCCCACCTTATAGTTGCATTTATTCAGTCTCCTTCATCTGGGCATCCAGCAACCCCCATGTACGCTGCGTCATTTATCTGCATTGTGCAGGTATTTCTATGTAATTTGTCCTAACAAAAATAATAGCAACACTGATCGAGGCTGAATGGAACAATGTACGCTGCGTTAAAGCAAGACATTTAATGTGACAGAATTGCTGGCGAACAATTTTATACTAAAGCTCTTTTAACTTTTAATGCATGATGCTGCCAATAGCTGATAACTTCGCTTGACATTTTCAGAATCCAGAGGAGAGAGAGAGAGAGATAGGCCGTCATCTTGCGTTAATACCCTTCAGAACGCTCTTTTTTAAAATACAACATTTGTCCAAATCAAAAAAAGAAACTACCGTACAGTATGGTTAAGATGCCAGGTGTTGGAGTTGCTACTGATAATGTGTCATAAAAAATGACACCTGGAGCTTAGCTGCTCTTATTTCTTTGATGGCTAGCATCTTTTATGACGGCCATTTGGTGTTTTTCTATATTTCCTTAGCTGGTTGCAGATGTATCTTTACCTCTGTTGAAGCAGCAGAGAAAGTGAAATATTTTCCCATTCACTTTTTAAAATGAACAGGAGACTATAACGTATATGAAATACAAAATGAAATTAAATACATCTCTTATGCATAACATTGTATGATATTTTTGTTTTTGGAAGTACAGCTCTCCAGATACAGCTTTTCTATCTCTTTTTGAAACACAGGAATTGTGTTTCAATTATTCTTATTATCAGATTTCTAAAATGGGTCTGTGTTTTTATTCCAGCACTACTTATATATGTGAAAGGAACAGTGTGCCATCTCTGTATCTCCCTTTAAATCTTTATAAGCCAGAGGAACTTTTATCACTCTCAGACAATCTGATATATGAAAAACACAACATGGACAGATCTGATCTGGGTGTTTGTGTGTCTGTGTGTGGGTGTGTGTGTGTGTGTGCACAAGCCTGCCCCTCAACACACTTCTATACAATATTTTTTTCCTGCACATGCATGCATCTTTGTTATAATGTGCCTTTCTCCTCTCAATGCAGAGCTGCAGAGTGTAATGCTTGGGTTTGTGCTTCCTCAGGCTTCTTCATGTCAAAGTCAGTTTCGGTTGACTTGAAGTTAAAGAAAACAGACTGACAGAATGAGCAAAAAAAAAAAAAACAGAAGAAAATTATCGAAAGTCTCTGCTGGTGATTCAAAATGCTGTTTGCTCCAAAATGAAAGATACAAAACCATATATGAGAGTAGCAGCCTTTGAAGCTGAAGAATACCCAATAAATACAGTGTGTAATTATAGCACATTAAGGCAGACGCTATTTATCACGGCAGGTTTTAGGTGGGAGGATAAAGATTGAAGAAGTAAAGAGCTAAAGAGCGTCGTTGGGTTGTTGCCTCAGGGTAAAGCTGCTGTCAGTTTACTGCCAAGAAAGCAACAGAGTTTTTTTTCATGACAGCAGGAGAGGAATCACGAGCTGGAACAGAGGTACACAAGTAGAAGTGTCAACTGAGTTTACAAAAAGTCAGTTGTTTTTGACTTGCCAACTTTTTTGCACAAAGCCTTTCAACTATGAACACGTTGTTTGTAAAGAAGTGAGGGAGAAGAGTGTTAGGTGGTAGAGCAAAGAATATAATATTCTTCAGGGCAAGTGCAACCCATTTAGAGCCAGCCTCACAGAAGTAACATCTAAGCAACACTGTTTTGCTTGCTCAAGCAACAGGTGGTAAGGCTACCCCAAGGGTCAAACTGTAACAGGAAGACAGATCCAGCAGTGTTCTCCTAAATTTTTTGGTTTTTGTTTCTCTACTAAAACACAAGTAAACCTTTGCTTCTTCTCTCACAGGAGCATTGCAGATTGAAAACAGTGAAGAGACGGACCAAGGGAAGTACGAGTGCGTGGCTACTAATTCCCAAGGCGTACGCTACTCCTCCCCAGCAAACCTTTATGTGCGAGGTAGGACCTGAACACTGAACACATCCACACACACACGGACAGACAAAGACAAAAAAATCAACCCTTATGGACCTCTATTAAGGCACTCTTTTTAATAAAACTACCTCTTTTCTCATGACCGTGCTGTTAAACAAGTATTACTAACCCATCCATTGTCTATAATATATGTTGACCCTGTTCTTTTTTTGGTATTTCTCACAACCACCTTCCACCTTAAACCTTGGTGTGTTCTCATACAATAAAGAAGAAGCAGAGTGAGCCATGCCTCGGTTTAACTGCATGGAAACATCTCTGATCTTGCTCCTAAACTGGTTTCTGTACAAGAAGGCGGATATAAAGAAAACATAGTGCCTTGCTAAAGTATTCACACTCCTTGAACTCTTGCCTTTTGCAGTATGTTACAACCACAAACTACAATTTATTTTATTAAGATTTAATGCAATAGATTATGTTTTACAAATAAAAATCAGTTAAATCAATTGCATTAAGTGTTAACCTAAGCCAAAAATATTGCTCACTTGTTTTTGATTTAATGTCAGTAGGAAAACAGCTGCTCTTTAAAAGGCCCTAGAGTTTATCTAAAGAACTTAGGTGAATAAGCAGTATAATGTTCAGCAAGAAACACAACAGACAAGCCTTGGAGGAAATATGGGGACATTAGTATGGAGTCCTGTTGTACAACAATATCCCACCTAGAATAACCACCTTGGATGCATCATCAAAAGAAATTGAAAGACTGTGGTACAGCTGCAAGCCTAACAATACATAGCTGGAATGGGTAGTTACAGTCCTGATCTTTTCAGATGTGTCCCTGCTCCAACTTACCAGAGTAAAATAATCAAATGAATACCAGGACTCTGGACAAGCTGTGTATCAAGGATATGATGCAGCTGTTTCATTCAAATGCACTGGACCAAGGAAACGGTGTTGTAAGACACCAGCCTTTGAGGACTAGGGGTACCCATCCCTAACATAAGGAACTTAGAAATCAGATTAACAGGTGGTATTGAAGAAGAAGATGTCCTATTCAGAGTTTTTGGCCAACATACAGAATGTTATGAGAGGCAAAAAGCTATCACCGCACCATGGTGGTGGAAGCATCATGCTTTAGTGATGATTTATAGAAATTAATGTTTGTGGTTGTACCATTAAAAGTATAATAGGTATGAGAAATGAAGACTTTGACAAGGAACAGTGCTTTGATCTCAATTGGGAAATGAACAGAGATTGTTCACAATCTCTCGTAACGAACTGACACCAATCTCTGCCTGGGTGCTGGTGTCTTGTAGGCTCAAAGTCAGTGGCCAATGTTCGGATTTAAAAGTTCTGGTTCTATGTTTACGTGGCTTATCAGAACACTGTATGTATGTGTTGTGTGAGGTGAGTGCGGAAGTGTTGTGATGAGGCGAGAGTGGCTTTGCGCTGGCCGTTTTTATTCTCTCTGTGTTTCCTCGTTCTCTCTCTCCCCCCCTCACGTCATTGTGTTCTGCATCAACCCCCTTCCATCCCTCAGAGCTTCGAGAAGGTTGGTGCGCTCTTTTCTTTGCTTTTGTTACTCCTTTGTTTCAGAAAGCGTCACTTATTGAAACAGCAGGAACCCAAAAAAAGAGGAGGGAAAAGAGTAGCTTAAAGTGAGACAATTAAACCTTGTGTCCAAAAATGAGGAGAACAAAGCTGCTGCGAGGATGACGAAGCGGTCCGCTCATGCAGCAGAGTGCCTTGACTGCATTGTGAGGCCTTGTGTGCAGAACCCTTGGTATTGCCTTCACTCCCGATCAATGTTTTCTGCATGGTATGATCTTGTTGTCATGGAGACCCAAGAATTGGAAGATTAAAAAGAGGCAATGTTTGCATGGAAGGAGTGAGAGAGAAAGAGAAAGGAGCACCACTTGCATGGGTGTTGACTGACGGACTGACAGAAGAGCATGGCGCAGTGTGAGTTCATGCCTAGTGATGTGCTCGGATTGTGATATTATTGAACTTGCAGCCTTGTCATGTATTGCAGCTCTTTTCTGTTTTGCCCCTTTTGTTCAGTTTATGTATTACCTTTTTGTCCTTCTCCCATGTCATCACATCTGCTCCAGTTGTTGCACTGACTGGGAATGTTGCAGTCACAGTAAAGCTTTAGCTATCCCCTTTTTGTTCTGAAGTCTTATGTTTGATTTGTCAGTAGATCTTGGTTCTTTTTGGGCAAAATCCATAGCAAACCCAAGATGGGCAAGGGAAAAAAAACTTAACTTGAGTGATGCATATTTGAACAGATACTGCTGCTTCTAGAGATGGTTTCAGCTCCTCTGACCACTCTGCTTTACTGAAGGGTTGTGTGCATACATTTTTATCCCATGTGGGAAGTTTTCACAAGGAGCCATTCTAGATTGATTATCTAACAGGTTTAAAATGATACTTTAACTAAGTAAAAAAAAATCAAACTAATAGAGTTGAATTATAGTTATGAAAAGTACATTATACACAAGGAATAGTGCATATCACACATTCTCATGGTGAAATGTGGTGGTGGCACAATCTTGCATCGCAGATGTTTGTTTTCAATCACATGCTGGAATGGCCTACTCAGGATTTTTTGTAAAACTAAAACAAATCAATTGTTCCTCCATTTTGACAGTGCTTTAGAAATATTGAAAAGCACAGTAGGCACAATATTGGGCGTTGGCTGAATAATTCAATTCAGTTTATTTATAAAGGGCCAATTGAGAACACACGGCATCTCAAGGCACTCTACAGAGCCAATTCAATCACATCATACAGTCCGGTTGGTTAAAAGTTTCTTTCTAAGGACCACCAGCTGATTGCATTGATTCACTGACTTGCAAGACACACTTAGATATTCGCTTCCATTTTGTCACTTACTTTACAGCAGGGTTCAACTATGCAGTGTCCAAGGGGCCCTCAGGAACCATATGGGAGACCCTCAGCATCTTCTGAAAACAGTAAAACTAAGTTAGAAATTTTATATTATTATTCTGCTCTCCTTTTTAAACATTTATAGAGCATATCACATAGGGCATTTAAGCATTTATAGAAATTTTTAAAATGAGAAATAATGAGAAAACTTTGGAGTCATAGCACTTTAATTAATGCTTTCTGTTAGCAAACGTAAACGGTCAACTCATTCCACAGGAGGCCCTATCTAGGAAAGATACAGACAAGCCGATGTGCTCTGAGCCAGTTTTCATGTCAGAGGGATAAATAATGAGCACATACAGTTGATGGCAGTAAAAGCTGACACCATAGCTATGTCTGTGAGAGAAACAGGACCTAACACTACAAAAAAATAAAAAAAATAAAAAAAAGGAACAGACTAGATGAAGCTACTCACTAGAAAAGCAGAGAGAAGATAAAGTTAGGGATTGAACCAAAAAATACTGCAGAATTGTAGGGTGGAGATAGGATGAAGCAGAATGATGTTAAGTGGTCCCTATGTCCTCCAGCAGACTAAACTTTTAGCAGCATATCTATGGAGATAGCTCAGGAAAACCTGAACCACTATATGTTTTATTAAAAAGGAACGTTTTAAGCGCAGTATTAAAAATAGACAACATGTCTGCCTCATGGACTTAAACTGGTAATTGGCTCCATAGGAGAGGAGCCTGAAAACGAATCGATCTGCCGCTCAGTCTATTAGAAATTGAAGGGACCAGTAGTCAACTAGCAGAATAATAGAAAGAGAAATGCACAACACAACATTCAGTTTTGTTTTGTTTTTTTCAGATTAGCAAACCACTTTTTTTTTTACTATTTTTGGTCTTCTGCCACATAAAATCCCAATACTCTTCTTTGAGGTTTGTGGCTATCATTTGACAAAATATAAAAAAAGCTCCCGCTGTTTGATTACAGGTACTTTTAAAAGTCACTATATCGTTTTTTTATACCTTTCAAGTGTTTGAAGGGTGTACTCTATCTTTTCCTTTTTTCTTTTCACTTTATCTTTGTTTCATAAATTATGCATGATGAAATCTGTAGTGCCTAGTTTTGTTCACATGAGTTATAATTATAGAACCCAGTTAAGAAATGCGAAACCTCAACAGTTAATATAGGTCTTACTTTAATTTTACCCTGCCATCAACATCTGATAATAAATCTGATTGTTTTGCTGTTCTGTAGTCAGTGAGAATTTTCTAGATAGATGCAAAAAAAAAGCAACAACAAAAAAACTTTTGGTAGCAATTTCCTGAAGCTGCGTAACATCAGCTTTTTTAACTGTGTTTTTGTCTAAGGGCCTTTTGGTTTTCAGCATGCAGAGGCTCAGATTCTTTGGGATTATTCTTGTTTTTCTCATATATCTACCTATCAGCTGTCTGAGGTACTTTAGTCTGTACTAAAATTGGTCCAACAATAAATAAATAATGAAATCCATTTATATATTTATTTATTTTTTGCATTACATAATCCTCCAGTAATATTGTTTCTCTTCAACTCTCACTATTAATCCTGCTCAGAATATCTGTTCACTTTGTTGTTTTTTTTAGCAGTGACTGATATTTTTTTCTCACTGAAATTTCTCTTCTTTGCTACAACACAGACTTTACTGTGTTTTTAAACTTCGGCAAGTCTTACCTTAAAACATATCAAATAATATTTATGTCCGAACATCCAAGTTTGATCTAAACAATCCAACCTTGCAAATATGAATTCTTCAATAAGCATGCATTTTGCTCTGCTAAGGATCTTGAAAAAGAGATCTGCAAACATGAACTAAATTATTTTCTGTTTTGAAATGCCTCATTGATGTTTAGGCTCATTATGACTCCAACTGAGCTGCACAATATTAGGAAAATTGGACAAAGTTATTTTTAATAACGGGATGGTGAAATTAATTGCAATCAACCTACATTATTTCTTCCATTATGTAGTCACAGACAAGTAGTGCAAAGTTGTGAAATATATTATTATCAAGAAAACATTGAATGCATGGCACCTGAAATGTTATTCCTTTTCAAAAAATGTTTCCAGCAAATCCTTCGTGATTGTGATACTGTGCACATTGTTATTACAATGACTCATGACATTAAATATACAGTATGTGTAGCTGTATAGTTTACATTTCATAAAAGAAAAACTTTACCAAGAACTTTTCTGTGGTTAGGTAACAATACTGTTATGGTAGGGATGTGCTTAAATGACTGTTGGTTGAGCCTCAGCATGCTCCAAAAATAAGGAGTGGGCTGGTTCTGTACTGACTTCGAAAATTGTTTGTCTGTAAGTGATTCACCAGATGGTTAAATCTGGTTGAGCTTACTTTTAGAAAAGGATCCACATGTTTTATAAAAATATTCATAGGTAGTATTTCTCCATTTTGTGCGAAAGCATACTGGTGGTTAGGGTAACAAAAAAAAAGATTCAACAGAAAGCATATTACACTGCATTGAAACTGTTTTAGCCCTAAATTACAGACATATTTGGATTTGATGTTAGACTATGACTTACCACAATGTGTAAATATATCTATTTAAAGGGAACATTTTCACATTGTTTTAAGGATGAACACCTTTAAGCTGTCTATTATAGTCTTTCAGTCAGATTTAAGAAGTTAATTGTAATCATAATTTAACAAACTTTCAAAAAAACATTTTTTTAGATAAAATGAAAGATTTTATGGTAAAATTTTGCACATTATGTGATGGAAATTACATTTGATAAATCTTTTCTAAACAATTATTATTATTATTGAGATAAAGTAAGATTAAAATTATTTGTTTAAGCATGAAGCATTAATGCATATTAAATTACATTGTAGATATTTGGCCCTGTGATTTCTTTATCCTGAGGCCTACATGTATGTGCCAGCTGCAGCATTCATAGCAATACCACTTAAATTTGCAGAGACTTACATATAAAATTATTCAAACCCTTGACAGATTTATATCAAAACTTTATTTTAATTTAGTCATCATTGTTCTATTTATGTTTAGAAATGACAGAGGTCTCTCCTAATGTAAAAATTTAGCTTTCAGTTGTGGAAAAAGGCTGCAGATAATTCATGTTATCTCACCAGTTAGGAATTAGGCTAAACCATTTTTGATTAATCTAAAATAAAACTGCATTTGTTGTTCCAGTAATACTTTTACTCAAAGAACCTAAATAGACAAGGAAAAGGAAATCATAGAATAGAAAATCCCTTTATTGTCCCACAATGTAGAAATTCTGGCGTTTACAGCAGGAAAAAGAATATATAAAAAATTGTCACACAAATGTGGACCTTAGAGGAGCGTATAAAAACCACATAATATTGAAGAGTTAAAAAATAAACTAATAATATTCTGTACTATAGTGTTTTATAATATAAATACTGTGAACCTGGAGAATAAATAACCAATATACAGCTGTGGACATTTTTACAGTAATGGATATTTGAAAATAGAAGCAACACCGGAAAAATCAGCATGAATTTAACAACTTATTATGGAAACAGTGATGGTTTTGTCCTTTTTTTTCGGCTCCTGTTTTCACCAGCATCACTAAAATGTCTCCATTCACTGGCATTTAATATTAATCATACCCATTCTCATTTTTAGGTATTCTGGGGATATAATGATTCCCTCTTATTACAGTGGTTAATGAAAGTTTTGTCCTTGGTGCAGACAGGATGGCTCTCTGTAAATGTCAGCCGTACAGTTTCCACAGAGATACTGCAGTAATCCTTCTGGCTGTGCCAAGTCTTTTTGCAGGCTGTTGCAAGCAGACTCCCAGCAGAGGAATGGGCTAATGATAGCGTCTCTAATAAAGACTGAATGTCTGAAGCTCTTAAAAAATGTATAGAAAAAGCAAACAGGGAATCAAGAGCCCAACTTGATTAACTTAAAGCTAGAGGCCCGGTGAGCGACTGAGGGATTATCCTTGGTTATGAGCTTTCTTTATTCTAAAGCACCTGCCTGAGCTCTGCATCTAAAATTTTAGTCATAGAGCTGAGGGAAATCTTTGATCAATGATATATATAAAGGGCTTCCTTTAGAAAAATCATCTGAAGTCATTACCACCGTTTTGTTGCCAACATTTTTACACTATTAACACATAATATGCTAATAAACTGCTTCTTATATTTATTGATTTTTTTTTTTCATTCTCAATAAAAAACCATGTTGTCATGCTGCATTGCACCTGCTATGTTTGTGTTATGCATGGGGCTGCCTGCCTGTCTGTCTGTCCGTCTGCTTGTCTGTCCCCAGCATGCTCAGATTAGCAGTTGCCTGCCCAATCATGTCTGTTTTCTAACAGATCTATCTGTTCTTGTCTCTTTGTCTCTTTCTTCTCTTCAACCTGTATCCAATTCTGGGTATTTTTTCCTGATTATTTTTCTACTGCATTTATTTTTCATTTAACAGCAGTAAAATCCCTACAACAGTATATTTTGATTATCCTTTTAATTTGTTGAAATCATGGAATACTTTTAACTTCTGCCCAACTGTCTCTAGCTTTTTTGAGTAGGGGGGATGTGGCCCATGAAGAACCCATGTAATGATGTTACTCAATAAGGACTGGAGGTTATGCAGCAGGTTTATGAGTATCTATTAATCATTTTATGTGCTTGATCTTAGATGTTGGGTGATATATTCTTAGAGACAATGGAGTATGCTTAGATTATTGTTTTGTTAATCTGTAGGATTTCATTTTAGAGTTTTAATTTGTCTAGTTTTAGAGCATTTTTTATTTTCTGCCCAGTTCTGGTTTTATTTTGTAAACATATACAGTACCTTGCAAAAGTTTCAGATTTTGTCACATTGCAACTACAAACTTCAGTGTATTTTTTGGGACTTATATAGTTAAAAAGAAATGGTTTCCAACCATTATTGAGAAAATAAAATCAGAAAAGTGTGGCATGCATATATCTAGCCCCCTTTTCTCTATTGCCCCTAAATAAAAGCAGTTGCATCATTTTTTTGTATTTTGAAGTCACCTGATGTACAAATAAAGCTGACATGTGTGTGATATCATTGTAAATCTACCTGTTTAGTGAAGGTTTTAGATGTTTGCTGGGGAACATTAATGAGCAAACAGCATCAAAAAGATGAAGAAACACAGACTGGTCATGGAGAAAATTCAAGAGATATAAAACAGAGTTGTATCCAAAGCTGTGAACATCTCACGGAGCTTGTTTTAACATATGTCTATATAATTAAAATTTTGTTGGCATTGTCTGAAAATTAGTTTTTGCAGACAATCATGATGCAAGTACCTTGATCTCTTTTTCAAAGAAGAATGGAAGTATTTTTTTGTCTCCAGATTGAAACCGTAGGTTCAGAAATGTTCCTTGCAGCTTTGATATCAGGTAAGATTAGTACTACAAATAAATAGATGAAAAGAGCTTGATGCAAATACATGCCAGACTTTTCAGATTTAAACATGTAAAACTTTTTACAAGCCTTCTATTATTTTCTTTCTTTATAGTAAAGTATGGCTATGCATTGGTCCATTGCTTCAGATCCCAATAAAGCACAGTGAGCATGTTTGTGGTATGTGGTTGTAATGGTTCAAATTGTGAAAACATTCCCTTTTGCAAGGCACTGTTAGCTTCCTGTAGTGCTGAGTTTTTCGACTGTTTCTGCTCTTCCCTTTCATTCTCTCCTTTCATCCAGAGACGTTTGTCTGTTTTTCTCTGTTTTGTTTCCTGTGCTGTGACCCTCGGGTATCTCTCCTTTCTTCTTCTCTGTTCCTACAACATCCAGTTTTTTCTAGCCATTTTATTTTTTCAGTTTTTTCTTTATATGATTTTGTCTCTCCTTACTTTAGAGGCATCTTCTTTCTGAATGGGCCTGACTCTGGTATATAGACGTGTTTTTAAATAGATCCATGTGTTTTCTTCTTCCTCGCTCCTCTTTTCTTCCCCCCTTCTTCCCTCCTACCCCTGCAAAACCCTTCCTCTAATCCTCTCTTTATCTCCACCCCCTGCCCCCCCTGTCTTCCTTTTCTCTCTTCTTCCTCTTCATTCTGTCCGCGCCCTGATGTGTAGGAGCTTCAGACACATGTACATAAGTTTATTAACTTATAAACATGCACATACTACCTCACATATCTCTCTCTCTCTCTCTTTTTGCTCGAACTCTTTCATGCTGTCTTGGTGTTCTTTACTTAATGTCTCCAACGATCACGGCACCTTTTTCGGATCTTTTCTGTCCACATTTCCAACTCATTTTGACAACACACTGTTATCAGTAATTGATCCTATGTATTGTACAGTATCTTGTTGCACAATGTGGCTGTCCTTTGCTACATTGCCTGTCATTGTCTGGAAGAGACGCAGAGCTGCTTCTGTCTTTCTCAGTCTCTCTCTATCTCTCTGTGGCTCTGCTTCTGCCTGTCTCCTCAGTGTCTTGTCTTGCTCCTCTCTGTCCTCCTCTTTCAGTTCTACGTTCTCTTCTTTGTGTTCCTCCACCATTTTTTTATTCCTCTTGAGTCGCCCAGGCATGCGAGTGACCTATGGGTTCAGTCTCTCTATGTGCCTCCTCTCCAATACGTATCAAGCCAGCTCTGACAGATGTAATATTGCACATAACTTTGCTACTTTGCTTGTTTTCCCTCACAAGAGGGTGGAGGGACACAAATAGCATGCAGGGTCTTATTGATCGGCCCCTCAGTGATGCATATACTCGCTCTAACAGCCCCATCTGCAGCACGAGTGCCTCGAGGCACAGTAATTGCAATCAAGTAAAGTTTGTCTCTGAAGTCACTGGTAAAGTTTAGAATTGCTTTAAGGAGGGGGTTAAAACGAGAACGACACTGCTGTAGCTTGAAGAAAAATGGCCGAGAAATTATGCACAGGAGAAGAGAAACTGACTATAGGTGTCATGTCCTGGTTGAAATGAAACTCAAGAGTTTGTCACAATATTATTTTGAGTAGGCAGCTCACTGTGAATGGTTGAGCTTAACACAAGATTTATGTCTTTCTGTTGAAATCATCAGTGCCATATAGTAATTGGGACTAAACTTGAAATATCCCTTTGTAATTTTCTGTAAATCCCTGAAGTTCATTTTCCCCCTTCCTGTTACTTCTCCTCTTTCTCTCTCTCTCTTCCTTTATCTTCCTTTTTCTCTCTTCCCTTACTTTCTCTCTCTTGATCTCCTGCTCTGTGCTTTGCTCTTTCTTTCTCATTCTTTCTCCCCCTCCCTTCCCTCACCTTGCTCCCCTCTTCCCTCTTTTCTCCTCCTCTGCCTCACACTTTTTACCCCCTCCTCACCCCCTTCCCTGCCCCTTTTTCCTTTTTACCCTGGCTCTCTTCCTCTCCCAGTTCGCCGTGTGCCCCCTCGTTTCTCTATCTTACCCTCCAATCATGAGATCATGCCCGGGGGGAGTGTCAACATCACCTGCGTGGCTGTGGGTTCGCCCATGCCTTACGTCAAGTGGATGTTGGGCATTGAGGACCTGACCCCGGAGGATGAGATGCCCGTTGGACGGAACGTGCTGGAGCTCAACGGCGTCCGGGAATCTGCCAACTACACCTGCGTGGCCATGAGCAGCTTGGGTGTGATTGAGGCCACTGCTCAGGTCTTAGTCAAGAGTAAGAACCCCCTTATCCGGGAATTTTTACATCCTAATGTTTTTGAGAAACATGCATGTTTTTAAGAACATGTTGTGCTTTTTTCAAGTGCTCTTGCAGCAGTTTTGGAGAGTTTAAGATTTCTGATATTTAGCTTTATTTCAGGGCTGTCAGAATGACATGCTGAGGCCACAACACAAATTTAGCTTGCCCCCCACAAAAAAAGTTTGTACACCCCAGCTATATTTGAATGGTACACATTTTCATGATAATGTTCCGAAATATCAGCCCCAGCCAATTTTATTTTAATGTTTAATGTTTCTTGACACTATCCGAGTCCCTCAGTACCTCCAGGAAGCAAATTAATGTGCTGTAATTTATCAGCCCTGCCAGCACCAGGAAGCTGGTGTTGCCAAATTTAGAAATTTGAGAGATCATTGTATTGGAAGGTAAAACTAGTTAAATCCCAGAGTGCTGCATGAGTCATTACCAATATCTGAGGATTTTAAGAGAAATGTAAACCAAAAACTGCCATTAGGTCATGGACAAAAATTGATTTTGTTATTGATGGATTTATGTATTTTAAGTGTAAAAAGATTTAATGTACACATGAAAAAGAGATATTCTGTAAACAACGAAGAGAATAGGACCTAAAAAAACATTCTAGCCTAATTTTATTCAGAGAAACTATAACTAAAACATAATCCTGTGGACAATTTCTGATCTCTTTTTTTTATTTGTGTGAAATAATTTGAGAAGTTTCCAATTTTCCTTTTTGAACCTCAATTCAAAAAGAAACATTACACTCTACTTTAGAACTGTCTACAGCTATAGATGTATTTCTGGATTGTGGAAATATATATATATATATATATATATATATATATATATATATATATATATATATATATATATATATATATATATATATATATATATATATTCTGGATTTTGGATATACACTATATTGCCAAAAGTATTTGCTCACCTGCCTTGACTCACATATGAGCTTAAGTGACATCCCGTTCCTAATCCATAGGGTTCAATATGACGTCGGTCCACCCTTTGCAGCTAGAACAGCTTCAACTCTTCTGGGAAGGCTGTCCACAAGGTTTAGGAGTGTGTTTAAGGCAGGCAGGCAGGCAGGCAGGCAGGCAGGCAGGCAGGCAGGCAGGCAGGCAGGCAGGCAGGCAGGCAGGCAGGCAGATAGATAGATAGATAGATAGATAGATAGATAGATAGATAGATAGATAGATAGATAGATAGATAGATAGATAGATAGATAGATAGATAGATAGATAGATAGATAGATAGATAGATAGATAGATAGATAGATAGATAGATAGATAGATAGATAGATAGATAGATAGATAGATAGATAGATAGATAGATAGATTACATTAGGATTAAGATTAGGATTAAAATAATATTTGTTGACTGGATAATAATCTCACTACGTTGTGGCCGTATGATTAGATTTCCTTCTAGAAATATTACAGTCAGGTTAACCTATAATCCAACAAATGTCATCTTCACTTATGGCATCAAGCGTGCAGAGGATATGGATATAGGATACTGTAGCATGGATTAAAGTTGTTTACGATTGCTTGGAAAGAATTGTACAATTCTGTGTGTATGCTTGTGTTACAATCCACAGCCTTACCAAAGCCTCCTGGCACACCCATCGTCACAGAGACCACAGCTACAAGTGTCACCATCACCTGGGACTCAGGCAATCCTGACCCAGTCTCCTATTACATCATTCAGTACCGGGCCAAAGGGCCAGACAGCAAGTACGAGACTGTGGACAGCATAACCACCACCCGCTATAGCATTGGCGGGCTCTACCCCAACACTGAGTATGAAATACGGGTGTCAGCCTTCAACAGCATCGGCCAGGGTCCACCTTCCGCACGTGTGGAGGCCCGCACCGGAGAGCAAGCCCCTGCTAGCCCCCCACGTAACGTGCAGGCCCATGTTATCTCTGAGAACACTGTGATGGTGCGCTGGGAGGATCCAGAGGAGCCCAATGGACAGGTGGGTTAAAATGTACTTTTTTATCTCTTAAAACACATTTTTTTGTAGTTTGTTATTAGTCCTTTATTAGATTCAGCAGGAATCTAATAGGACAGCACATTATTACACTAGCTAATTCACTTGGTCAGAATTTGCAAAAGGCTATTTTTCATCTTTTCTCCGACTTTGGTTGATTTAGTTGCTCAAAATACAAAATAAAACTAACAGGTAGTGATGAATGATTTTTTTCAAAAATCAAATTGCCATTTTTTTTCAAACAATTATGACTTGAAATTGGGAGGGACTGCCGCCACCAGACTTTATACTACATGCAACAAGCACAGGTCTATGGAGAGTGACTGAGGAACAATAAGGGCATGATTCAACCTGTGCTACAGTATGGGAGAGCTGGGGCCAGTTAAGGCTGTCAAGTAAATTAACCCTCGTCTAGAAAACTGTTGACATTCATCAGAATATTGGTCAGGGAAGATTGTCTGTTATACTTAAAACATCTTCCTCCTCCACAACCTTTTCTATAACCAGTCAGGCCATCTCACATGAATGTGCGGATGCCTTTAATGAACTAAGACAAAGCTCTTTTTTTTATAAAGTGTAAAAGTATTCAAATATATTGTATATAAGATTGATAAATTACATATTTTTGTACATATTTGCTTATGCTAAAATAAGAAATTGTGTATTGTGTACTATTTTATACCATGAAATTAATCTTATCATGTTTAACTTATAAAATGTTGCGATTTTTGGTGGCTCCATTTGTGCTACATTATGGTACTATTACCCTTTCTGTTACTCATAGCTTGAATAAGGTCAGCTCTAAACCTGGTCCTGACCAGACTGAGATCACTTGGTCAATTTCCATCAAGTCAGACTAAAGGCTGATTTATACTATACTATTTGTATAAACCAGATCGTCTGCATGCGTGTCCCAGTGAACGCAAATGTGCGCCCGTCCGCCTCTGCACACTCTGGTGCACCTCTCCAAAATTGTAGGTGACCGCAGACAGTGCTGCAGACAGGAAGCATCTGATTTGCCAAGTCTACATCCGCTCTACACTATGCGTATTAACTGTTTGGTACCTTACCGGCTTGTTTTGTTTATATGACCACCATTGTGGAAAACAAATTGTGAAGATGGACTAGCTAGAAGAGTGAGGTGCACAAGACCACTGGGACCCTTTTTCCACCAGGATCCCTGCTCTTTTTCGCCCTTATGTCCCTCAGTTGTCGTACAAACTTTCCCCTTGCGTTTTTACACTTCCTCCCTCTTGCATTGTGGCGTGGAATAACATGGCGCAGACCGTGCTTTAATATTGGGCATAAATCAAAAATATCTGCAACAAGCTCACTGCGACACACTGCTGCGGGAGTATAACCAGCCCTTAAGAGTGAGCTAGCGTTATCAGACTTAAATGACCTCAAAGTAAGCCAGACTTGACCTGCCATATGAAACACCCCTTAGATCTGAAGTATAACTGATTTTAACATTATCCATGTGTGTCATTAGCTTATTTCCACCACTGTATGGAAGCACACATATGAACTAGTGTCATCTGCATATGCTTGAATGCTACAGGTTGAAATCATGAAAAACAATGGTCCAAGGGTAGGTGAATAAATCATATTTTTTAGTATTTGTAACGTCGATATTGTTCGACTGCATATAAAAAGGTAAAAAGACCTAAATAAGATGGGGGGAAATTCTCGACCATATTCACAAGAAGCTCCTAGAAAAGTCTTACTTTTGAATACTCTGGAGATGTTTTATAAAAAAGTTAAATAATAATACATCCTTTTCATTTAAATAAGAGTTACAATATATTGTGCAGGTTCCTGTTCTAAGATATGCATCTTTCCAAAGATTTTGGCTCCGTAAGTCTCTTGCTACTTTTTCTATTCTCTAAAAAAGGAAAAGCTAATTGGACTGTCCACTCTAAGTTGAGAGCCCTTCCTCTTGAGGCCTATTTCCTTTTTCAAGCCTTTCTAACTGAACAGCGAGTTCATAAAAGCACAAGACCGAATTGAGTGCATATGGGGATTATAGATATTAAAGAGCTAGAGCAGGGGAGGTGTGAGACCTTGCGGTTTAGAGAGTTGGCATGGCAGAGGGATTACATAAACTCTGACCTACCTACTGTCTTTCCAGAAATCCCAAATGGGTAGAGGTGGAGTGATTACATCTTAAAGGCCAGAACCAGTTCATTTGTTTTATCCACTTTATTCTTCATTGTGGCAGATGTTTAAAATCTCTATGGGGGAAAAAAACATGTTAAGCACAAATTAAACAGAACAGTCTGAAGTATAATCGATAACAACCTCAGCTTTTGTAAAGTCCAGCTGTATTAATACATGGTATTATGGATTATCATTGTTGAATTACTGGGGGATTAGACCAAAAAAAATTCTGTCCCCAATAACCCAAAAATCAGATTTTAAAGCAAAAGGACTTAACTTTAGTTGATACAGGGTTACATTCTCTCTTTCTCTCTCTTTCCATCTCACTAAATCTCCGCTTCTTTCTAGGTGAAAGGCTACCGTGTGTACTACACCATGGACCCATCCCGACCCATTAATGAGTGGCAGATTCACAATGTACAGGACAGCTTGATCACCACCATTCAGAACCTCATCACCTCAGAGACCTACACCATCCAGGTCCTCGCCTTCACCTCCGTAGGAGACGGCCCTTTTTCAGATCCTGTGCATGTAAAAGTTTTGCGTGGAGGTAAAGAAAATAAATGTTTTTTTTAAAGGTCTTTTTGAAAACAGTATGTATTACAGTGGTTGACACACTATGAGCAACAGCAGCAGATATAGACTAAAAACTTAGTTGGCTTTCTTAATAGAAATGTAACAACCAAAATGTTGCAGCCAATCGCCAGTTTTATTTTCATTCCTTTGTTTAAAGCTTTGATTTGCTGACACTGACTATCCTGCTCTCCATATCATTGATATATTTGCCCAGTTGTTTAACTTCACTCAGCTACGTATCTAGAGGCACCTGATGTACATCTTTAGTGGCTGAGATTCTGAACCTTATGAAGAGTGCTAGAGACATTGTGTTAAGGTAAAACAAATGTTGGTTAAACATTAACCCTATTGTTATTGCCACAATCAGTGGTTGTATTGGTGCTTAATCAGTACATTCTCACCCCCAACTTGTCACATATTGACGCTCAGTCAATATGTGATGTATCCCCTGTGCATTAGACGGGGTTCATAACAGGCTTAGAAGGAACTTCCTCAAACTTTTCCATGAGCTGTGAAGTTAAAACTTACCACCAACCCATCCCTTGACCTAACTATAACCCCTAAACTTTATTAAACAATTATGCTTGACGCATATATATATATATATATATATATATATATATATATATATATATATATATATATATATATATATATATATATATATATATATATATATATATATATATATATATATATTCTATGTGGAAACGAGATGCCTGGACACAATTCTGCAGCCTTTATACTCCGCGCACCTGCATACCCAGCTTGTACCTAATATTTCCCATCGACACTAGCTGGGCCTTTGCATGGACCAAAACCTTATAACAACATATAGAAGTAAAACACTCAGCTGATTCCAACATTTTCAAACCTTCTTCGTGTCATCCAGGGTTCAGTAACTTTTTTACCAAGTGTTTTCGCAATAAGTTGATGGTTGTTATATTTACGGACCAAATCGGAAGATGTGCCCATATCTTTATATTTGTGAACCTTCATCAGTAGAAGCTGTTGCATGTCCTCCATGTTTTTCAATGCTGAGCTGTCTGCGTAGCTACATGGTTATCTGGGTGGGCAGTGCAGAAATGTTTGGCTCACAGACACCGCACAGGTACTAAAAGTTTGTAATTCGGTTGTTCAGTTCTAAACAACAGACACTGAATCATAAACCAGGCTTTAGTAAGTGTCGCTGATATAGTCCATCCAGCATTTCTGACATTGCTAATATGACAGGACTTAATCTGCTTCTGTAACATTTTATGTGGTTGGGGCATGCAGAGAGAGCCATTTCTTGCCCTTCTCCCTCGCACCAAAACTGATCATCCAAAGTACTTAGTGCGCTCATTATCGGTTCTATAATTAGCTCATTGCATACTATTCTTTATAGTTTTAAGTCTAGAACTGAGGAAGCCATCAGATAAGGTTTATTTTGTGTCGGGTGAAACATTCCTTTTCTTATTTGACTGAATGTTTTGGGTTAATAGCCCACTCAAATACACAGGGATGACATATATACTGCTTTTAAGTTGGGGAAATGTTTTTTTTTTACTCTATATATACCAATATTTCAGATTTCCTCGACTCTAAGGTCAAAATGACCTTTGGAAGGGAATCAGGCCCATAGCAGTAATGGTCCTCCACCGTACTTTTCAAATTTCATGCCAGAACCACCTGGTCTGCTTCTAGTCTCAACTTACCATAGTGCACAGCTCTAGTTAAAGCGCCAGGATTTTTAAGCAAACTGGACATATTTGATGTTCAGACCTAATAGACTTTCCAATGACATATCTCCAGAACAGCTGCTTTGCATGTAAATAAGGTAAAATGGTTGAACAGAAAGCTCAGAGATCCCGTAAAGGTCATTCTTTGCAGCACTTCCTTTACAATCATGATCACTGTGTGTGAGGGGCACACTTAAGCAACGTTCGCCGCTTTGTTAGCCACAGATATTGGCAAGTTTGGGCAAGAGGCTATTTTTTTCTGAATATAAACACATATCTGCCTTACTGTCCTTCTCATTTTGTAGAGTGTCTAAAAATAATAAGCCTCTGTGTCTGAGACAGAAGTTGGTGTAAAAATAAAGTAATTGAATAAAAAGCACACTGGAGTTAATTCCAAGTTCAGATGAAAAAAAAAACAAAGACTTCATACAAAAGAAGGAACTATCAAAGACCTTATGGACCACATGGGAATGTATTTCGAGGAGAGACAATAGGCGAAACAAGAGACAGGTTGGTTGCTATTTAATAGACTGGAAGCGGCTGACTGAGAAACTTGAGCACAGTGACACTGGAAATGTACAACTGAAGATAAACTAAACACACAAAGACCAGAAGCTGTAATACGACCAAACAAACAGAGCACAACGCTCCTGAAACTAACCAAAATTAAAAGTTTAGAAGAGAAGGGGAACACACCTGTAATTTGCTTTTTAATCCCAAAGCAGACTAAAGGTTGTGGACTACTTATAAAACAATATATATATATATATATATATATATATATATATATATATATATATATATATATATATATATATATATATATATATATATATATATATATATACTCACCGGCCACTTTATTAGGTACCCCAGGCTAGTAACGGGTTGGACCCCCTTTTGCCTTCAGAACTGCCTCAATTCTTCGTGGCATAGATTCAACAAGGTGCTGGAAGCATTCCTCAGGGAGTTTGGTCCATATTGACATGATGGCATCACACAGTTGCCGCAGATTTGTCGGCTGCACATCCATGATGCGAATCTCCCGTTCCACCACATCCCAAAGATGCTCTATTGGATTGAGATCTGGTGACTGTGGAGGCCATTTGAGTACAGTGAACTCATTGTCATGTTCAAGAAACCAGTCTGAGATGATTCCAGCTTTATGACATGGTGCATTATCCTGCTGAAAGTAGCCATCAGAAGTTGGGTACATTGTGGTCATAAAGGGATGGACATGGTCAGCAACAATACTCAGGTAGGCTGTGGCGTTGCAACGATACTCAATTGGTACCAAGGGGCCCAAAGAGTGCCAAGAAAATATTCCCCACACCATGACACCACCACCACCAGCCTGAACCGTTGATACAAGGCAGGATGGATCCATGCTTTCATGTTGTAGACGCCAAATTCTGACCCTACCATCTGAATGTCGCAGCAGAAATCGAGACTCATCAGACCAGGCAACGTTTTTCCAATCTTCTATTGTCCAATTTCGATGAGCTTGTGCAAATTGTAGCCTCAGTTTCCTGTTCTTAGCTGAAAGGAGTGGCACCCGGTGTGGTCTTCTGCTGCTGTAGCCCATCTGCCTCAAAGTTCGACGTACTGTGCGTTCAGAGATGCTCTTCTGCCCACCTTGGTTGTAACGGGTGGTTATTTAAGTCACTGTTGCCCTTCTATTAGCTCGAACCAGTCTGGCCATTCTCCTCTGACCTCTGGCATCAACAAGGCATTTCCGCCCACAGAACTGCCGCTCACTGGATGTTTTTTCTTTTTCGGACCATTCTCTGTAAACCCTAGAGATGGTTGTGCATGAAAATCCCAGTAGATCAGCAGTTTCTGAAATACTCAGACCAGCCCTTCTGGCACCAACAATCATGCCACGTTCAAAGTCACTCAAATCACCTTTCTTCCCCATACTGATCCTCGGTTTGAACTGCAGGAGATTGTCTTGACCATGTCTACATGCCTAAATGCACTGAGTTGCCGCCATGTGATTGGCTGCTTTGAAATTAAGTCTTAACGAGCAGTTGGACATGTGTACCTAATAAAGTGGCCGGTGAGTGTATATATATATATATATATATATATATATATATATATATATATATATATATATATATATATATATATATATATATATATATATATATATATATATATATGTTAATGCTCAAATTGCAGTCTGCAGTTGGGACTGCACAAGCTTTTTTTTTTTGTTAGAAGCGTCATATCTTCAGAGGTTACAGCATGAACACTGAAGTTATCTCTTTTAATTGCTAATGGCAGCAATGCCCCTTTTTACAGGTGGTCAGTATTGGGATAATATTTCCACTAAAAAAATCAACTGAAAAAGTCTGGGATAAAAATTAGTCTTTTATGCCTCTCGACACATCATTAGCTGAGGCACTAGTGAGTGTGGAGGTCCGCTTGTAGTGCAAAACAGTTTGATAAAACAGCATTTTAAAAATTTAACCTTAAAGAAAAATCCCAGTTTTTTTTAGATGCCCTTATACAGAGCACTGACTAGCTGTGCTGTCTGCTCCTTTTCAGTTCCAGGTCAACCAGTCAAGTTTAAAGTTGGGAAGGTGACAGACACCAGCATCGAGCTGATCTGGGAACCTGCATACACCAAGGAGAAAATAGTCAACTACGAGCTACTCTACAAACCTGTCAAGTTTGGCAGCTTGGTGAGCCTATTTGCCGCTCTTTGTACAGTGGATGTTGTACTGTGGAAGCTCATTGGTAGAATTCTCTTATAACAGAAATAAGGAGACACGATTCACATCATTTTGTCCTCCGGAGGGGGGGAAACATTTATTTAAATTTTCAATTCCTACTGCTGTCTTAAACACTTCATAAGTTCAGCACTACATCGTCAGACATCTCAGTTTTCCCCCAACTCTTATTTCATCTCAGGCTGTTTTATAGTCTTAATATCGCATTACGTACTGTAGATGCACATGCACAACAGAATATTATGTCGAAATCTTACTGGAATTCACATGTGCTGGTCAAAGCCAGGGTTGCTCTGACACTGGAAAGAATGTTTATACACACGTTCTCTGTTTATGTCAAAACCTTTTAACATATCATCTAATTGTGTAGGAATCAGCCATTAGAAAACTTGTTATTGCCAAGATTCATACTTGACCTTCAGCATGTACTGCTAGGATTATAAGGCCACGAATAATGATATATAAGGCAGTACAGCTGCTTCTATATGTGGTGAGCCAGCCAAAATATTCTATATTACCACCTCAGAGGTAGAAGGTGAAATAAGAAGGGGAAATGTAAGAAATTAACCTTGTCGTTCTGCACCGCTACACCGCTCTGCTCTCCAACCACAGGCAAAGTTGACCCTTGAGCCGAGGAACTCTTTCACAGTTGAGGGCCTAAAAGCAAACACTGAGTACTCCTTCTCCTTGGCCGCCATCTCCAACAAAGGCATCGGAGCGTTCACCAATGAAGTTGTGCAGAGGACATCCCAAGCCAGTATGTTTTATAAATTTTATTTAAAACTCTCACACAAATGCGTACCGAGCATATCATGCACATTTTAACTGTGTCATTTTTACCTCCTTGGCATTTATTTTTTCTGCCAAATCATACACCCACACATGTCGCCGTTTCCTCAGCTGCTGATATGATATAACCCGGGACCATCTCAGACTCTCTGCATGTGTCTCCATTCTCATCCCATTTGTCTATGCTTTTCTCCTCCCATCCATCCGTACACCTTTAACTGTGACTACCTTCCACTGAGAGGTCTCTCTTTCCCCTCCCAGTTAGAACAAAATGACAGCCTGAGACAAAGAGCTCAGCATAATGTTTTTTGGGCTATCTATGTACTTTTTCTGCTCTGTCAGTGTACAGTATAATGCATTTTGAAAGGCAGTAACTTCCTTCCATTTACTGGCTCGCAACCAGTGGTGTAGTGTATTAAAGGACGGTCACCTGGCCTGTTATGATGACAGGTAAGTGCCACCCAGTATGTATTTTACCACATACTATACTTGGATTCTCTCCCCTGTCTCTTTTTTTCTCACTTTTCTACACAAACACTGATAGCGGATAAGGCTCAAACCCATCCGCCGTGTTGCGCTGTGATACAAAATCAAATTTGCCCTGAAGAGGACAAAATGATAACAGAAAATGGAACAAGGGAAAGAATTCATAAAGTACTTTGCAGCTGTGATAGAGTCCTCTGGCTTCTAACATTCTAATATGGTAAGTTTTGTTAATTCAAGTATTTACAATTATTCAGCAGCAGAAAGCTCCCCAAATGAATAGTAAGGCCTGGGTGGTGGGCTGAAAGGGGCAAAGCAGAAGGAGCGGGGGGCATATCTTTGAGAGAGGTAAAAGAAGGTGCTTGATAAGCAGACTGTTTCATGCAGTAGAATTCATTTCCCAGGGAGGTTAGGTGTGCTTTGTTATCGCCAAGCTTTGGTGCACATCTAGATTGTCCCCCGAGGCCAGCAGAACAGTGGCTGCACGGCTGAGTGAATAGATACTTGAACCTGTCAGCTGTGACTATTACACACATACCCACACACACATATAGACAGACACCCCCCACACCCACACGGACCTGAGCCACGGCAGGAGATGGAGCACAAGCCCGGACACCTCGCCGTGCTTTAGCCTTTGCATATGTGTTAAGGTGAGTGATCTCTATTGTATTGGCGGGAAGGTGTTAGAACGCCTCACGTTTTCCTTTCTATATTCCGTCCTGACTTTCTGACTTAGGGCCTATCTTTTTTTTAACCTGACTTCTAAATCATTTTGGGCACTGTGTAATATTGTTTTAGCCTTTTTTATCTTCTTGCTGAGAAGCTTAAGACCTTCCCCTTGTCAGAACAGAGGAAGTCTTACCACACTCTATTTTCTCAAGGACTCAAGGATTAGGCCGACATGGAAGCTGCTGTTGGAAAATGTGTATATGTACAGTGTTTTTCTGCTTCTGTGTCTCTCTCCTTGAAAACAAGATATATTTTGTATTTTGTTGCATGTTTGTTTATATTTTTTTTCATGAACCTTAAACCTTTCATGCTCCCAGCTATAGCCAGATGATAAAGTAATTACTGGCTATCGGGAGTTTAATCACCCTCCATATAATTAAGTTGTCCACTTTAGGTCAATACTTTTGTCTTGGTATTATTTGATTATGCTCCAAGCCTAACATTATGCAATTACATAATGGTGTGGCTTCCTTTTTTGTTTCCAAGCCAACCTTGCAAAGTATTCATACCCCCTTTTTAAGTCCTTTATGTATATTATCATAATTTAATGTGATTGTAAAACATGATAGTAAATTGAGGAAAAATATGCAGTTTTCAAAAATATTAAATACCGAAAATTAAATCCATTGCAACTAATGTCTTGTATAGTTTCCCTCTTAAATTTAATCTATAAATCCAAGTGCTCTTAATGCATCAGAGGTTTGTTAGAGAACATAAGTATCAAATCATAGCACAGAGGTCAGGGGTAAAGTTTTGAAAACAATATCTCTAGCTTTGAACATCTCAAAGAGAGCCTTTCAGTCCATTGTCTAGAATGGATAGGAGTATGGAGGAAGAGCAAGCATTTGGAAAAATGCTCTTTGGTCAGATAAAACAGAATGGGAAGTGTTCGGCCTAAATACGAAGCAATGTGTCAAGACTATTTCCAGCATATCCCTCAGAATAAAAAATCCCCATCATGAAACATGTTGATGGAAAAACAGGTTGGCAACTTTTACAGGCTGTAGGTGATATGAAAACTGGGTTCAGCTCTTTGCAGAACAACTACTCTAAACATAGTACAGCCACTGCAAAGGTGATTATGAACAAAGCAAACTGATATGTTAGAATGATGCAATCCAAGTGCAAACCTTAATCCAACTCATAATCTGTGGTAAAACCGCAGATGAACAAAGCTGTTAGCCATTTAGCTTTAATGCAACATCAGGCGGTTCCACCCTGTTAGCAGGAGGCTGAGCTGCATAAAAACCATCATCACAAATTATTTTCTTTTAAATATTTTTATTCAAAATAGCAATAATGTGTTGCTTTGTGTTTCTTTATCACATACAGTTATTTTCCCCAAAAATTCATTAAGGTTTTTGATAAAAGTGGATAAAATCCCTAAAAGCTTAAAGGGGTATAAATACTTTTTCAAAGTCAATGTTTTTTTTTTTTCAGTTCAGTTTACTTTTATTTTTTCTTATTGTTTCCTTTTTTATCCTTACTTCCCCTACTTTTGCTTCTGATATTCCCCTCTCTTATTTGTTACTTGTTTGTATTTGGTTTTTTATACCCTAAACTCTTGGCCAATTTGCTCCCTTACCTCTATCCATCCAAGAGCCCTCAGCTGCACCAGAGGGTGTGTCCTGTGAGAGTGTCAGCTCCACCTCGCTGAGAGTGAGCTGGCAGCCACCTCAGTTGGAGGCCCAGAACGGCGAGTTGGCAGGTTATGAGCTCAAATACCAGAGAGTTTCTGGGACAGGAGAAGAAGAAGAGGCAGGAGGAGGTGAAAGTCAGGGATCCGAGGTGGAGAAGTTTCTCATCGCAGCCCATCAGAGACAAACTGTGTTGGAAGGGCTGGAGAAGTGGAGCTGGTACAATATCACACTGGCAGCCTCCACAGCAGAGGGAATCGGACCCAGTAGCCCACCCATACTGTGCAGAACAGATGAGGACGGTAAGAGAGTGTGCCATTGATCAACGCTTAAAGGCTATTGATTGATTACTTGGTTATTTACTGGTTGGGGTGTTTTTCTCTTTTTAATTACCTCTACATTTGCATGTGTTCTGGGTGTGTGTATTCTAGTGCCCGGTGCTGCCCCTCGTCAGGTGGACGTTCAGCCACTCAACTCCTCAGCTCTCCGTGTAATGTGGCGCTCTGTGTTGCCACGGTTACGGCAAGGCCAGATCCGAGGGTACCAGGTGCACTTTAACCGTGTGGAGAGCGGTGAATCACGCACCCTGCCCCGAATCAAAGACCTTCTCCTGGATGAATCCCAGGTGAAATCGCTGTTTAAAAGATAGAATGACACTGATGTCTAATATCTGTAAACAATTTTTTTTCTTTTCCTCATCTAATCTTTCGACTCACTCCTCCTCTCATCTGTCTCGGCTGCCTACGGGGGCGTGTTTCTACTGTGTGACAAGATGGAGGAGGATGATTCGACTCAGTATGTGAGTGCAGACTGCCGGTCGTTTTCCCACAAGGAAATAATAAATGACCTCACAAGCAATCCATACAGCAGAATGAATCCGGTACTTTAAAATCCAATTCTCATCAAGTTGGATCACCGTGGATTTAATCAAATTCCCCCTTTTCGAACTACATATTATTTTTTCTTTTATTTTTACGTGTACCTGATAGTCGTGTCCTTTGATGTAATGCATGACAATAGTAATAACGAATATACAAAGTTATGCACTATTTCCACCAGACAAAGCACTTGATTTCTATTAATTTTTTTCAATACGCTAAAGCCAGCAGATTTTAATTTATATTCAAGAACATAGACATTAATATTAATCACACATAGTAAAACTAATTAGTTGTTGTTCTATATAGAAACACAAATGATTCACAGAGTAACATGAACATGTGCAATCATTGGATAATTTAAGGGATTTACATTTATATCTCAATAAATTTGAATCTAAATAAAAATGTCTCCTTTTTTACTATTTTAAGTTGAAAAACCTACATAATGAATGATATGTATATAGTATTATATATATATATATATATATATATATATATATATATATATATATATATATATATATATATATATATATATAGATGGGTGTTTGCAGCAGCTATTTCAGTTTGATGTATCTAATAACTGATGGTTTCAGTAATATTTCAGTACTGAATTGAGGTTTATTGGACAACAGTAAATGTGCAATATGCATTAAAACAAAATTTGACAGGTGCAACAATATGGGCACTGATTAAACAAAGATTGAGTTGTTTGGTCATAAAAAAAGACGTTATCCATGGCGGCAAAAAAACACAGCGTTCCAAAAAAAACACTTGCTACCCACTGTAAAATTTGGGGGAGGTTCCATCATGCTTTTGGGCTGCGTTACCAATGCTGGCACTAGGAATCTTCTTAAAGTTGAGGGTCGCATGGATTCCACTCAATATCAGCAGATTCTTGAGAATAATGTTCAAGAATCAGTTACGAAATTGAAGTTATGCCAGGGGTAGATATTTCAGTAAGACAATTATTCAAGACACCGCTCCAAATCTACTCAGGTGTTCATGCAGAGGAACAATTCCAATGTTCTGGAATGGCCATCCCAATCACCAGACCTGAATATCATTGAACATCTGTGAGATGATTTGAAGCAGGCTGTCCATGCCTGGCGACCATCAAACTTAACTGAACTGGAATTGTTTTGCAAAGAAGAATGGTCAGAAATCCCTTTATCCAGGATACAGGAACTCATTAAAAGCTACAGGAAGCAACTAGAGGCTGTTGTTTTTGCAAAAGGAGGATCTACTAAATATTAATGTCTCTTTTCTGCTGAGGTGCCCATATTCTTGCACGTGTCAAATTTTGTTTTAATCACACTGCACGTTTTCTGTTAGTCCAATAAACCTCAATTCAGTACTGAAATATTACTGTGTCCACCAGTTATTAGATACATCAAACTGAAATAGCTGTTGCAAACACCCAAATATAAGAAATAAAAATAGTTAAGATTAATAGGGTTGACCAAACTTTTTCATATGACTGTATATATATATATGTGTGTGTGTGTTTGTGTGTGTGTGTTAGGAAACTGGGGTGCTGTGCTTTATACCTTTGGTTTGTGATTATCCCTGTAAACAAACTTTCCTTGATGATTTAGTTTGAACCTTTGTGTGAACTAATAATTTGTCCTAAAAGACAGAGGATCAGTACATGACAATGGGTTTTCCTCCTACAGGAGCTGGTTTTAGGAGGTTTAAAACCAGAGACATTGTACTCTGTCTCAGTGGCTGCATACACCACTAAAGGGGATGGAGCGCATAGTAAAGCTAAGCTGGTGCAGACCACAGGGATTGGTAAGCATATGTCAACTATATAGCTCTCTGGATATAGTAACACATTCAGGAATTGATCTTACGGTAAGCTGTGCCGTAAATAAAGAGAGGATCAATGCTAATTTCCTCTAAAAGATTTACATGATACATGGTTTTAGGAGAGCATGTTACAACTGATTTTCTGTTTCCCACTCTGTTGTCTGCAGTGCCTGGCTCTCCATCCCTTTGGGTGCGTCCAGGATCGGGCTCGTCTGCGGTGGTGAGGTGGGCTCCTCCGCTTGACTGCTCCGAGACAGGTTCTGATGACCGGGCAGTGCCAGTAGAAATCCAAGGCTACCGCCTACAGTTTGGGCGGAAGAACACTTCTTTAAACAGCACTGTGGATTTCCCACCACGCGAGAGAAACTTCACTGTCAGAAACCTCTCCCCTGGGTCCTCCTACCTCTTTGTCCTCTCTGCAAAGAGCCAAGCGGGCTATGGAAATGCGGCACAGCAGGAAATAACTGTTCCCATTTGTCCACCTTCGGAATACCCCAAAATAATTGATTTCGTCAACGCTAGCTGCTGCTCCCTTCAGTTCTCATGGCTGCCCCCCACCCCAGACGAGTGCAGCGGCGATGTTACAGAGTACACTATAGCCTACAAACAGGCTTCTGACCAGGGCTCCTCTGCCTCACCGGCTTCCTCCGTTCCCCCTTGGCTCATCACGCTTCCTGCAAGCGAGTCCAGCTACACCATCTTGGGTCTGAATCACAGTACAGCCTATGAGGTGAAGCTCAGAGCCCACAACCAGGCAGGGCCAGGCCCTTTCAGTCCCGCTGAGCTGTACCTCACCCTGGCCTTTGAAACAGGTATGGCTGGCTGTAGGCCCAGGGAACACCTTTCAGCCCCTAAGCACTGGTTAAACATCACTCCTCCCCTCATCCTGGAGTCCACCTTGAGACACTAAACTAAAACCAAGTCTGGGCCAGTTTTTACAGGTCCACTTTTCACCAGCGCACCCCCAAGAGAAGGAGAACTGCAAATCCCAGAGGGGCATGACCGCTCCCACCCCTTTATCTCCTCCACTCACTCACTTGTACCTTCATCACCTACCCTTCACCAGCAGTGGAAGCAGGCTCATAGTTAATGGATGTTTGCTTCAAGAGCACTGCTTATCACAAACCCTCAGGTAAAAGTCAATATCGGACCCTGGATTTACAGTTTCTACAAGAGGAGGTGAGTGTTTGGTCTCATTTAAAGGGAAAATTGGTGCCTGGTGCTGTATCTGCAGGTAAGCCGTTTCTTATCTGATAGACCTTCACTGCCACCTTCTCCGAAGCCTTGCTGACATGCTGAATTCTGAGTACATCCAAACACAAACTTCCACTCTGATAAGTGTGGCACGTCACATTACTGCAGCCAATCCGTCCATTACTTACTTTTCATGTCATCCACTCTCCTCATCACCCTCCCATTCTCTTTACCTTTATGTACTCCTGTCCAAGTAACATGTCAGACTCTTTTCAACCTCAGCAGGACTCCGCCGGAAACACAGATAATCCTTAGATGATTTTCTTATGTTGATAATTGATATCTAACAATTGTTTTTTTTTTTGTCTTTGTTTCTCTGCTTGCTTCTTAGATGTGCCGAGAAATTTTTCCGTCAATCTGGCCACTAAGACGAGCGTTCTTCTCACCTGGGACTTTCCAGAGACAAGCAACCCTTATCCCTTCATTGTATGTCTTAACCTGGATCAAGTGCTTAACATGTCAGACAGAAGCAGTAAACTGCATGGCACAACACAGTGGCTCATATAGTTTGAATTCACCCGTTTTCATACCAGTGTAGTTTTAGTAATTTACTTTGGATTAAAAATATTCAACAAATTTACCCACCAGGAAGATGTTTTTATCCACTTTGAGAACCAATAATTTAAAGTAGTTTTCTATATTCCACTTAGTCTGCTACATGAAATGTAGAATTGACTCAGATAAAATGATATCTACCAGTAGGATCACCCTAATAGCTTCTTTGGTTTGATCAAAGATCATATTTTATAAGAGCCCTCGGGCTGAAATTGGGTTTAGAATGAAAATTAATTGAAAATAGGTTGCCATATAAAATTTGAAGATAGTGATTTACAGTATAACATTTATTATATGAGATTTAAAAATGTTATGACATTTTGATCCACCATTAATCAAACTACTTATGAGAAAAGAATATAAATGCAATGCTTTACATAAATGAACTGGTACAAAAGTAGAGAGAATAAAAAAAAAAAAAAAGAATTAAAACTTGGCTTATAAATGAGGTTAAAAGTTAGCCAAAGTTTTGTTTTGTTTTTTATTTTATTTGTTTTATTTATTTATTTTTTTTGGGGGGGAGGGGGCGATCATTTTAATTAAAAATAAAAAAGATGTTCACTGTTTATTGTTGTTTTAAAGCCACTATAAGATATACATTATTTTCACTCTTTAAATGGGTGGCGATATAGTACTATCAGGAGAGAAATGTTACATTCATCTAACTTTTCCAAACGTCCAGGTGGAGTATAACCGTCATAAGATGGACCTGGACGCGCGTCTTAAAAAGGCAGTCATCACAAATCTTAATCCCGACACCAGCTACGACTTTAAAATCACTGCTGCAGAGGGCAACATGGGAGGCCTTCGCCACCGCATCACAGCCAAAACATCCCCACCAATCACCATCCGTCGCCCTGAGATCGACCCGAGCCGCCGTGAAACAGAGGCCACCGTCACCATAATCCTGCCGTTGCTGGAAACTCGTACGCCTGTCAAGTACGTTCTTTAGCTTATTGGATCAATCTGAGTCTTTAGCTCACAACAGATGATAGAAGGGAAAGGAGTATTTTATACATGGGCAGGTTATTTATTTGGTAGAACAACTCCAAGTATTATTCATTTTTCTCTTTTGTGTCAACAGGAACATTTATGTTGTCGTGGTTCCCCTGCGTAGAGCTCGTGGCGTCATCAAACAACCGAAAAGTCCAGATGAAATGGACCTAGAGGAGGTGAGAACCCCAAAAATTACAGCACATATTGAAAGAACTCACAATCCCTTCTCAAAGAACCTCTGGAAATAATTACCAATTTTAATATTAAGTGTCAATCATAGATTTCAGAAGGTGTGACTCTGCATCTTCTTTCTCTTTGAAGCTCTTAAAAGACATCAGTCAAAGGCAACGAGATTCTCGGCAGCAGAAGCAGGTGGATTTGAGGCGGGCTTACATCACAGCCCGTTTTACACCTGCAACTCTACCCGCCTTCTTCTCTTTGGGGGACCAGCTGGACTATGGAGGCTATGAGAACCGAGCTCTAGAAGCGGGCCAGGAGTACGTGTTTTTCATCCTGGTGGAGCTCAACTCTACATCAGGGGTACAAACACCACTCTGTTGCATTTTATTTTCTTTTTTTGCCTACCAACCCTTCCTGGTTCCTTCTCCCCTGCAGGCTGTCTCTATGTGTCGTGATCAATACGGCCGCGCCGCTGAAACAATATAATTCCCGTCATTCAAAGTGTGGTAGGCAAATGCAATAACCCTCTCACTGCTAATAAAGAGGGGGTTTACTTACTGTGGCAAAGGAGGAGAGTCCTCAGTGCACTGCTGGCGTATTAGCGCATTTCAATCCAAAAAGACATACATATGTAATATGAATTATAATAGAGTTTAGAAGTGAACAAATGCCCAAAGGATATTTTTCAGAAGCTCTTCAGAGCTAATACAACACAGCGGTTCAGACCTCGGAAAGAGTAGGCAGGTCCTACATGTTATCACATCCTCACATTAAATCGGTTATGTCTGTTCAGTCTCATGCAATCCATTGCAACAGTTCTGTAATAATGCAAAGACTGGAAATGAGTTCATCTCTTCATGCCACAGAATACAAAAAGCACACTGAAAAGAAAAGATAATACAACCTTTGATCAACCACATTTTTTCAATAGAGGGGTACAGTGATAACTTTTTACAGCATCAGCTCCTGACATTTGTTGACTTCAAAATCAAACCCATCGCAAACATATTTTAATGGTTAAGGACATTTTCACTTAGGGCAGACAAGAGAGCCAGAGAAACAATTAAAAATAATTAAGTAATTATTACATTTTTATTGGGGAAAAAAACCCTGGATAAAGCATGTTTATCTTGCTGCCCAAACAAATCACTTCGTGAAGTGGAGCAAAGAAACTTGCTATGTGAGAGACAAGCTTGAGAAAAGCCATTTCTAGGTTTTACAAATTTATCTTGGACTTAAAAAGAAGACTGGAGAGTAAGATCAACTTTCTTACAAAAGATTTAAAAAATAAATTTGTTTATGGGAAATCCCCCACCCTTTTTTTATAGTATGAAGAATAATGTGTGATGCTGCGGTGCCTATTCCTTTCTTAAGCATGATAGAGCATATGACATTACAACATTTTTAAAACCTGTCAGGATTTTATATAAAAATCTAGTTGCCTATGGTTTAAAAAATATAGGATGTTCTTTAGCCTTAAAGCGGTTTAATAATCCAAAAGTATTTCTAAGTTAACAGAGAAATTATTCTAAATAGATAATTATGTGACTGCAATAAAAGTGGATAAAGAATTTCAAGACATCCTCATTATTGATTTTAATCCTTTTGTGATCGTTGCTAGAGTTTATATTTATGTCTCAAAGAAACACAAGTTAACAGTGTTTTTCCTTTACAGAGGATGTACGTGGCCAGCCAATACACTGAGAAGGTGATCGCCCCGCATTCAGACCCTCAGCCCTTTGACGCCGGTGATGGTCTGATCTGGGTTGTCGGACCCGTCCTGGCTGTCGTCTTCATCATCTGCATTGTTATTGCTATCCTCCTGTACAAAAAGTGAGTGTCAGAAAGTTCATAAAAGACAAATGTCAAGTTTTCAACAACAGCGATGACTCAGAGCATTAGTCGCACCAAGTAAATGCCAAAGCAGCTTTGATTTTCTTAGAGGATGAGACAAGCTTTAGTCTGTGCTTTTCTAATAGAAGAGGAGATTTCTGTGAGGGTATTTCCTGCCTCTTACTTTGTTCCCAATCAATCACAGACTCACACCCTCTCCCAGTAGTTTTATACATAAACTATTTTTAGGAATATTTTGACGATGAAGCAACGGCATCAAGAATGAAAACTATGTTTCAACAGTCTTCATACCACCTGAAATTTTTTCATATAGCCACAAATGTAAATGATTTATTGGGGTTGTTATATCCGTCCATCCATCCATGCATCTTTATCAAAAGCGGGGTCACGAGGGGTGCTGGTGCCGATCTCCAGCTGTCTTCGGGCAAGAGGCGGGGCTCACCCTGGACAGGTCACCAGTACATCGCAGGGCAACACAGAGAAAAACAGGACAAACTACCACTCACACACACACACACACATCTATGGAGAATTTAGAGAAACCAATTAACAGTCATGTTTTTTGGCCTGTGGGAGGAAGCCGGAGTACCCGGAGAGAACTCATGCATGCTCAGGGAGAACATGCAAACTTGGGTTGTTTTGTCATTGTAATTTAATGTCCACACCAATAGGGGTGGCAAATACTGCATGTTATTTACATAATGTTCTGTAAAAAGCCAGTATGCTGTGTTATAGAACAACAAATTAATGTGTGAAGTGAGCTCAATTCATGGTCAAAAAGATAATTCTCCACACATATAGAATAAGTTAAGATCTTCTATTCAAAATAAATGTGTTAAGAAAAACATTCAGCTCCAAGTAATTCCAACATATTTCAGCTAGAAACTCTTGACTAAGCTAGTGAAATTTAACTCAACTATAATAAACTAAAATGTTGACAAAGAAGAAGAAAAACACATGGTTGAAACCACAATCAATAAAATGATGCAAAGATATCACCTGTATTTATATTTATTTATATTTATGTTTGAAAACTTAAGTTAATCAAACTTAAAACAATTTAGGTATAGTGGAGGATTTTTTGCGAACTTCTGAAAAGACTCTCAACTTTTTAAAAAATTGCACACGCACAACACTGTACCCACTCCTGAGAGGGAACACCTATTAAACTTGTACAAGAGCGTGCACAAGCCCATTTCTCTTAATGCATGCACTGTTTAAAAGTTGCTGTTTGCTTTGCTCATACAAGCTTACTTTCCAAAAGAAGATTTGCTATTTTTCCACTATGTCAGACTCACCACCAGTAAGTGAAAATAGGGTTGAGCACTTACAACGGCCTTACATAAACATATCAAACATCATCAGAATGATTGACAATTAGGAGGACCACTAATTTTGATGATCCACCTTGAAAAAGAATTCCCTCCACTATACCTTTAACGACCAACTTTAGCTCAACTAAATGATAATAAATCATTTTTTTTAAATGTGTAGCTGAAAACTCTTACCCTAACTTTGCCAGACCTGTAACCTCTGCTAACTATGGAAAAGGCTGACTTGTCTGCAGGATTCAGCAGGTTAGCATGTCCTGCGTATAGCAGAGCCACAAACATAAATGAACGCCTTTCTGGCCTTTTACACCTCAAAGTTCCTGAAACTCAGACAGAAATGTTTCAGAATGGCCTACTTTTGCAGAAATTTGGAAGTTAGCCATCAGGTCCACCAATCCTTTCATCAGTCTGCAGAATCTGGTCCTTGGCATGTGGCCTTCCATTATGGTGCCTCTAACTAAGGAGAGTCTCACAGTGAGTTTCTTTGAATTGATTGTTTTCTCCACAAGAATGTGGGGGGGGGCTGAATCACATGTCTATGGACCGTAGCCCCTTCTTCCGCTTTTGCCGAATAGTGTTGTGGTTAATTAGAATAGAGATTCTTATTTCTATAAGCAGTTTCTTGTAATTTGCCATTTTTGATAAAAGACCACATTTATGGGGTGCATGACTGATATTTGGCCCTTAAACAGAGTCTCAACTTACAGTACATCACTGCCGCATCTCCAAAGTTGCTATTGACTAATTAATGGCTTGTGGTTAAATTCTGTAACACACCTCTGATTACTTTATAAAGTGTCTGTGCATATAAAGAGAAGAAATTGCACTCATTTCAACAGTCTTGATAGTCTAATTATACAGGTGCTGGTCATAAAATTAGAATATCATGAAAAAGTAGATTGATTTCAGTAATTCCATTTAAAAAGTGAAACTTGTATATTATATTCATACATTACATACAAACTCATATATTTCAGATGTTTATTTTGTTTAATTTTGATGATTACAAATGACAACAAATGAAAATCTCAAATTCATCATATCAGAAGATTAGAATATTGTGAAAAGGTTCAAAATTGATGGCCCCTGGTGCCACACTCTAATCAGCTAATTAACTCAAACCACCTGCAAAAGCCTTTAAATGGTCTTTCAGTCTAGTTCTATAGGCTACACAATCATGGGGAAGACTGCTGACTTGACAGTTGTCCAAAAGACGACCATCGACACCTTGCACAAGGAGGGCAAGACACAAAAGGTCATCGCTAAAGAGGCTGGCTGTTCACAGAGCTCAGTGTCCAAGCACATTAATAGAGAGGCGAAGGGAAGGAAAAGATGTGGTCGAAAAAAGTGTACAAGCAAGAGAGATAACCGCACCCTGGAAAGGATTGTGAAACAAAACCCATTCAAAAATGTGGGGGAGATTCACAAAGAGTGGACTGCAGCTGGAGTGAGTGCTTCAAGAACCACCACACACAGACGTATGAAAGACATGGGTTTCTGCTGTCGCATTCCTTGTGTCAAGCCACTCTTGAACCACAGACAGCGTCAGAAGCGTCTAAAAAGAAACAGGACTGGACTGCTGGTGAGTGGTCCAAAGTCATGTTCTCTGATGAAAGTAAATTTTGCATTTCCTTTGGAAATCAAGGTCCCAGAGTCTGGAGGAAAAGAAGAGAGGCACTTCATCCACGTTGCTTGAAGTCCAGTGTAAAGTTTCCACAGTCAGTGATGGTTTGGGGTGCCATGTCATCTGCTGGTGTTGGTCCATTGTGTTTTCTGAGGTCCAGGGTCAACGCAGCCACATACCAGGAAGTTTTAGAGCACTTCATGCTTCCTGCAGCTGACCAACTTTTTGGAGATGCAGATTTCATTTTCCAACAGGACTTGGCACCTGCACACAGTGCCAAAGCTACCAGTACCTGGTTGAAGGACCATGGTATCCCTGTTCTTAATTGGCCAGCAAACTCTCCTGACCTTAACCCCATAGAAAATCTATGGGGTATTGTGAAGAAGAAGATGCAATACACCAGACCCAACAATTCAGAAGAGCTAAAAGCCACTATTAGAGCAACCTGGGCTATCATAACACCTGAGCAGTGCCACAGACTGATCGACTCCATGCCACGCCGCATTGCTGCAGTAATACAGGCCAAAGGAGGCCCAACTAAATACTGAGTGCTGTACATGCTCATACTTTTCATGTTCATACTTTTCAGTTGGCCAACATTTCTATAAATCCTTTGTTTTTATTGGTCTTCAGTAATATTCTAATTTTCTGATATGATGAATTTGAGATTTTCATTTGTTGTCATTTGTAATCATCAAAATTAAACAAAATAAACATCTGAAATATATGAGTTTGTATGTAATGTATGAATATAATATACAAGTTTCACTTTTTAAATGGAATTACTGAAATCAATCTACTTTTTCATGATATTCTAATTTTATGACCAGCACCTGTACCCCTTTCACACTGGCTGAAAAACCAGTTTAAACCTAGGAGCAATCGGCTTTTAGTGGCAGTGGGAACAGCTCACTGACGCATGTCTATCAAGGTCATATGACTCGGCAAGCGGCCCGCTTTAAAATGGCCTCGGCTCTGATCGGCATTCTGTTGAAACACCTGAGCAGGGTTGAGCAGCTAAACGTGATACCATTGAACAGACGTCAACTAACAAGCCAAAACAACCCTGTTTATATTCGATAAACATAGTGCAGCACAAGTGAGAGGGATACAGACAATAAAAGATCAAAAAAATAAAGTAAATTTGTTATGTTTGGTTTCCTTACATGTTTCTCTACATTGTTTACTTTCTTGATTTCTGTCGCAGTGGTGACATCATCAATGCTAACCCAGTGTAATAGTGTCACAAGACAGGGGAACAGAAGTCAGGCAGTTTGCAAGCAAGGGGTTAGACCCAGCTATTTTATTGCCAGTGGGAAGGACCCGTGTTTTAAAAACCCGGGTTAATGCATTATTTTCGGTGGGAAAGGGTCTTTAGAATTTCACGCCAACCTCTTAAGATTTTTACATGTAAAAAACAGAAAAGCATTCATTTCTACACAAATCGGTTCGTATTGTTTCATCTTCATATAAAAGACCATTAAAATGCATTCAAAATTTTTGACAATACAACATCGTACATTCTCTTGCACTACTCTTTATCTGCTTGCAGCTCTTGTTGATATTCCGGTCAGCAGAATTGTTTACTGCTCTACCTCTCTCATCAAAATGTCCAAAATCCATCAAATTTGTTCCAGTCTAGAAGTCTGTTCTGCCCGCAGACAGCCATCAAAGCCTGAGCTCTGCCATTCGCTGCAATGTGTGCTGCAAGTTATCAGGCTTTTGAATACTAATGCAACTATATCGATTTATCTCTCAAACAATCTCTCTCTTTCCTTCCCTTTCTGCCTCTAATTGTTCCGACCCTCGCTCTTGTTTCATGGGAAGCAGCAAACCTGACAGGTAAGATTAATCCAATTTTGGACTCTTTGTTCTTTTTTTAACCCACGGCAATTACATGCTACTGGATACTATAACAAGAATTTGCACAAATCCGTTAAACACAGCGTGTGCTTTTACACTTTTTATTTGACTCAAACGGAGATGCTAATGATCCTTCAGTGCTGAGTCAAGCTGGTTGGGTGTAATAGCTAATGTTTTTTTTTTCAATTTCCCTTAACTGGTGTCTAAACAGCAAACGCAAAGACTCTGAACCAGGAACCAAAAGCCTCTTGAGCAATGCAGAGATGATGGCCCATCACCCGACAGACCCCGTAGAGATGAGACGCATCAATTTTCAGACTCCCGGTATGAAGCCTGCACCCTCACAGACATGCTCTCTATATTTGCATGATAAAGCCTACTTCCAAGGGCGCATTTAGATGAATTCAGAAATAAAATATTAATGCAGCTAATTTTATCCACTATTAAAATATGCAGAAAAGACTTAAAAAGTTGCCCCCAATCCCCCATTGGAGCAGCTCATACCTGGCAGCTTCAGGATCAAAAATGGCTGCTGCCCAGGTAGTACAGTCAGTGATTAGTCATGTCTGAGTCACAACGTTTGTGTCAAAAATCTCATCATCTCCGTCTTCCCACGTCCCACATGCCAGGCTGTAGGAGCAGCATTAGAGCTCCTGAAGTAAAAATAAAATGTGTTGTTGGTTAATGGTGATCATTTGATGAAAAAAAAATATGGCTTGCCATACATAAAGAGATCTGAATATCTTTCTCTAGTCACGTCCAAGGAAGCTTCCTTTTCCTTTCCTCCATTCACTTCATACTCAAATAATGTGAAAAAAAAATCTCCATTTTTGTTCTGTTAATGGCAGCAGCTTCCTGCTACCACAGCATCTCGTTTGGAGGAAGTGTTGAGCTCTGTCTACCTGGATAAAGGTTACCTGTCAGCTTACAACAAAGGTCAAATTAGACTTTTTTAAATCAATAGATAAAGGCTTATTCTATTTTTACATGTTGTCGGGAAGCAAAGAAAACCCCCACAGACTGCATCGCCTTGGCTCTTCTCTTTCATCACAAGACTTTTTATCCTTCGTGTGTGGCAGCAACCTTGAGACTCCTACCTCGCCCACTTCTTCTTCTTCTCCTCCCGGGAGATTAGTGCCTTTGAGATGGCTCTGCACCGCTGAAATTCATCTCCAGCAGAAGCTGTCTGAATGTGTCCGCTGTCGGGGTGGCCATGACGGCATCAGGGTTTGCTATGGTTAACTTCTGCAAAGCAAAATCATCTCAGTCATTTTAAAACCGGAGAAACACGCAGCGTGCCTCAGGCTTGGATTTATTTATTTTTTTAAGGTGGAAATGTTGCTATGATTCACTGATGTAAGCACTCACCTTTTTTAAAATGAGGATAGATTGCAGGAGCTTCCGTTTTCTCTCTCTAGCTGTGAAAAGAAATTATTGAAGTAGCCATAGGTAGCTTCCTTTAGGTGCTTTCGTTCAACTCATCTAATTAGGGCTCTGTCTGTGTTTGTTTTCTCCATGTCACCGCTCCTTTAAACATGGTGAAAGCAATTTATCAAAAGAAAATAAAAAATAAATCACAAACAAACCACTCGGCTCGCTTCGCCTTGTCCACACATATGGATCATAATTGATTTTCTGCCTCAGCGTGCTCCATAATGACATGTGATTTTTGCTTCTTTGTGTAATTATCCTCACATTGTTGCATAAAAGTGAAGTCGATCCTCAGTTATTTGGGTTTATTTAGTTGAATATTGCATCAACTCTGACCTGGCTGTGTAATGCAGGAATGATGAGCCACCCCCCCATCCCCATCAGCGAGCTGGCTGAGCACATCGAGCTGCTGAAAGCTAATGACAACCTGAGACTCTCCCAAGAGTATGAGGTGAGTAATGCATCATCATTTAATATGCATAAATAAATAAACAGACATCCTTGCTGGTTAGGGATGTGAGGCCTGATGTGCCTCATAAAGCAAATGTTATTGAATGTTTATCTGTTTGCAGGTTTTGTTCATGAGTTATTTAGAAACACAATTCATCGTTGTAACCTGTTTGCATTACATGCCACTTATTTACCACTATCTGCAATGCCTTGCAAAGCTGAGATGGGTTTTACATTCTATACTGTTAAAGTCACAAACATCTACGCATTTAAATGGAATAGATCAAATCACTGTAGAAAATAGCAATGAAGTGGAAGGAAAAATAATTCATGGTTTACACTTTATTAAGGCTGGGCAACATTTCAATATCATTATATGTCGCAATATAATTTAATTCAATATCAGTGGTATGACTTTTAAGCACGTTTCTAATATTTCCATATCTATTCCAGTGTATAGTTACAGCATTTGCTACTGGTTCCAGCTTTTATGTAGTTTTATGTGTTTTTTGTTTTTAAGTTCTATAAGGCATCTGTTTTTGGTGCGTATTTATATATATATATATATATATATATATATATATATATATATATATATATATATATATATATATATATATATATATATATATATATATATATATATATATATATATATCTAGAGCTGTAGACAGTTCTATAGTAGACTGCATACATATATATATATATTGGTTTTTTACATATTTTTCTCTTATTTTGGCACTAGATAACTATTTGTTGTTTGAGTTTTAATTATTATATATCAGAAATTGAATCTCAAATATTGATGTAATAAAAAAGCACATTGTTTTCAGCTTAATGACAAACTCTGACTTAGTAAAGTAAGAATTATTCTTCGACCCACTGAAGTAATTTTGCAAGGGGAATTCAACACAGACGATACGATAACATAAACCTTTTATCATCTTTCTTTAAGATAATCTGCCAGGTTTTAAAAATCTCTGTCCAGACTCTTTAAGAGACATTGTGGAAGAGTTGAAGAGCAGCACCACAGCCACAGCTTGCTCTGGAGTTGGTTGTTTTATATAGTTAAATTTGTTTACAAGTAGAGTCATTTTACTAATAGTTGGCCCTAAAGCAATAAAATGTTTTAAGTTAGGAGCCAAATACAAATGGGTACCATATTTTTCAGAGTTTTCTTTATGAACATTTTTGAAAGCATGAATCATTATCTTTCCACATTGTTATTATGTTCTATGTGGTCTTACATAACATCCCAGCGTAATTTATAAATGAGTTATTGTATTAAACTTAATTGGGTGCAAAATGGTTGTACTAAATACACCAACGCTCTCTTTTAATGGTTTTCTCTGCTTTGTCTTCCAGTCGATCGACCCCAGCCAGCAGTTCACCTGGGAGCACTCCAACCTGGAGGTGAACAAGCCCAAAAACCGCTATGCCAACGTCATCGCGTACGACCATACACGAGTCATCCTGGCTCCCGTAGATGGTGAGTTTCATCCAGAGATGGTTGCCCAGGGAAAGAACATGCTTTGAGTGTCTAATGGAGGAAGGAGGAGAGTCTCTACAAATTTGGGTTCAATGTGTGAACAGCTAGAGGTGTTCTGAGGGAGAGGGTGAGTGAGCTGCAAAATGGATGAAATCAGAAATTTGCAAACATTGCTGAAGACCCAGGGTGTGCACTGGCATGAAACTGACAACAGCAGCAAATGCAATGAAGTGCAGCCAGCACCTCTCCACTACAAGAAGTGGGAGAATGAGCGGGTTTGATCTGAGGCTCATGAATTTACAGCAGCAGAGCACAGTTTGTTTGTCGTTGCCTTGTGAAAGGCGCTGCTGCCAGAAACAAACGTTTCGTTTGATTGCTTGATGTCATACAAGGAGGTTAATTTAATGTGGCAATTATGCAGATTGATGCTTTTATCGAGAGCCTCATGAGGGCTTTGTTTGCAGGTATCCTGGGAAGTGACTACATCAATGCTAACTACATTGACGGGTATAGGAAACAGAACGCCTACATTGCCACCCAGGGACCCCTGGCAGAGACATTCGGGGACTTCTGGAGGATGGTGTGGGAACAGAGGACCGCCTCTGTCGTCATGATGACGCGCCTTGAGGAGAAATCTAGGGTTAGGAATCCAGGCCAATACCCAGTGACCTAAATATATTTAATTTGAGCACTAGAAAAAGCAATCTGCTTACCATACATCTATCATTTCTAAGATTTTTATGCTTTCATGTTTCTACTTCTAACAGATAAAGTGTGATCAGTACTGGCCGAGTCGCGGCACAGAGACATACGGGATGACCCAGGTCACATTGCTGGACACAATGGAGCTCGCTACTTTCTGCGTCCGCACATTTTCTCTGCATAAGGTAAGTGGTTTTGCTCACTTCTGACATTGCCTGTCCTTCATTTTAAATTTATTCCAACTAAAAAAATCCTCTAATCCTTCGGGGTCACACTTTGGACATAGGTTGAATCTGGGGGTCTTATGAATTACTGTCACCACTGAGCAAGCGGTGTTTGTGGACACTGAGAGGCTAATAGATTGGTCCGGGTGTCGTGAAGCGCTCAAACCAGGCCATGGTCCATGTGTCAGGGGCTGATATGCAATCATTGCTGGAAGTGGAGCGATGTCTTCAAGCACAGGGCTCATCTAGGACCGTCAGTCTGGCATGTCCCTGTGGCCTACTTAGGAGCCCTGAAACTAGGCCAACTGAAGCTTCCCAGTGCAGCTCAGCCTTTCTATATTTTGGTGTTGTCTGGAGAGTCATATTTTAAAATATTTAAAACTGCCATCATCCATGTCGTTTTTGCTATAAACTTTTAATAATTGAAAAAAATGCTTTGTGTTTTCCAGTGGGATTTATTCGTTATTGCTTTCTGTCAGTAAATAAATCAGTTTGAGATCTTTTCCAGAGTTCTTTTAAAAGTTTATACCCCTGACCTTTTTTTTTCAAGTTTGTTCGTATGACCACAAGCTTAATTGTATTACACAATATTTTGTCTTATTGACAGCTCCAAAGGATAAAATACCTTGAAAAAAACTTTCACTTAAACTCCTTTTCTAGCTCTGACATCTAGATGCTGATGTTTTGAATCATTTTTTTGCTGCAAAACACAGAAAATTTAGCCAGATTGGACAGAGATATTCTATGAATTGTACATTTTAATTCTTTCCACATATTCTTAATTTAGTTTTGGAGTTTGACAGGGCCATTTTAACAAATATCTATATGCTTTGATCTTTGCCACCCTGCTGTATTCCTTCCATCCAGCTTCATTTATCACTTTAATCGACTCTGACCACCTTCTCTGTCCCTTATTAAGAAGAGCATTTCCATAGCATGAAGATTCCACTTAATTTTAACTTATTTGCAGCCTAAAACAGTTTTTCATCCAGAATCACTCTGTATTTAGCTCCATGTATCTCCCTATTAACTGTCACCATTTTTACAGGCAAGATGATTTGTTCAAGACAATCTATAATCTTAGGCTGTGTCAGAATGTACACCCTAATCACGATATAGGGCACTATATAGTGGTTACGCCATTTTAAATAAACGTCTTGGGGATTAAAAAGTAGTGGACTCAAAATTTCCTACAATGCACCTTGAGAAGTAGTGATCATCCATTGTCAGTAGACAAGCAGATATATCCGGTAATGCTTTGTGAGGACAGCTGTCCTTACATGAATGCTTTGCAAGAAAGAGAAAATCTGTCCTTTTACAAAGACATAATTACACATTAAAGATGTGTAAACTGACATTAAAGATGTGTAATGCCATTCAGGCCTTAAAAGTCATGTTTTTTCCTCATTTGTTTCTCACGTCAGAATGGCAGCAGTGAAAGGAGGGAGGTGCGTCAGTTCCAGTTCACTGCTTGGCCCGATCATGGTGTGCCTGAGTATCCCACCCCCTTCCTGAACTTCCTTCGCAGAGTCAAGGCCTGCAACCCTCCTGATGCTGGACCCATCATTGTCCACTGCAGGTATGCAGCTTTAACTTGCTTTTGAAGAGGATCAGTCAAACTCTAGCTGTAGACATGTTGAGTGATGATGAGAAAGCAAATCATCTTGCACAAAGGCTGCCTTTAAGTTCAGAATGATATGTAGTTTTATGCTCCCCCATCAGTGCCGGTGTGGGTCGCACTGGCTGTTTCATAGTCATCGACGCTATGCTGGAACGCATTCGACACGAGCGCACTGTGGACATCTACGGCCATGTGACTCTCATGCGCTCACAGAGAAACTACATGGTACAAACGGAGGACCAGTACAGCTTCATCCATGAGTCCCTGTTGGAGGCGGTGGCCTGTGGGAACACTGAGGTGGCCGCCCGCAGCCTCTATTCATACATGCAGAAGCTGTCCAAGGTGGAGCCTGGAGAGCATGTCACCGGCATGGAGCTGGAGTTTAAGGTGGGAAAACGCTTAAGGGCTAAAACAAAACTGTTGAAAAAATATTTGTGATATTCTGAAATTTTGCCTTTTTTTCTAGTATCTACAAGAAAAAAGTCTGAACAGTCTTTATGAACAATAATAAGATAATGCCTAACCACTTTTACATTGAAATTAGTTTTGTTTTGTCAGTTACAGAGCCAAAAGATAGATATGGATTTACAAAGAGGAAAAGGCACATGTTTTTTTGCATTGCATGCATTTCTTGAAAACTAACAGAGATGGCAAAAGTACTCACTTTCCGTACTTGAGTAAAAGTACAGATACTTGTGTTAAAAAATACTCTGGTAAAAGTGGAAGTACTGATTAAACTTCTTTACTCAAGTAAAAGTAACAAAGTACAGGCTTGTAAATTTACTTAAAGTATAAAAGTAAAAGCAGAAACCACTTTTTTCATGCCGTTGCCTACATTTTAAATGGATGTCTGCCAATAGGACTAGATCTCCGTTGTGTTCATTTTCAATCATCTCGTCGTCCATGCTACTATGCCACCGCCACCAAGCTGCAATGATTTGCCGCCAATGAATACCGCCGAATCTGTCGATTCATCTTGTAGTGGTGCGTCAAATGCAACGTAGATTCCCATCCAATTAGATTGAATTTGGTATTGATGAGGTGAAAAATAATAACGGTAACTCCATTGAAATGATTCAAAACTAAAGTAACGAGACAATTTTTTAAAATGTAAGAAGTAGAAAGTACAGATATTTGTGTAAAAATGTAAGGAGTAGAAGTAAAAAGTCGCCATAAAAATAAGTAGTAAAGTAAAGTAAAAATATCAGAAAAATCTACTTGAGTACAGTAACGAAGTATTTGTACTTCGTTACTTCCCATCTCTGAAAACTAATATAAAGATATAAAAGTAAATACAGGTTAAATAACATGTAATAAATGTAGTAAAATCTTTTTTTCATAATTTTAGAAGGTTAAACATCATAGAGTTCAATTTAAAACAAATTGAAGTTCGCCCATGTGTGTGGAGCTATTTTGAAATGAAACTGAATATGAAATAATTCTCATTTTGAAATATTTTGACAAATTTACTAATTTATTTCTAAATGATGTAATTTTTTGGAATATTTTATCAGCATCCAATGGCTTTACAGCAGCATAAACCTCTGTTAAAAATGTATTTTTTCTATCCATTTTGGTTGGAATCTATCATACCTATCATCTATCATCTCAACACACTTTGCTAACTTTGCAGAGTTTCTAAAATTCTCAGATTGTGACAACGTGTCTTTAAGCTGACCCCATAAATCTTCTGTCAGATTTAGCTCTAGGCCCAGTTCTGTCACTTCAAACGCTATAGACACCTGAAGGTTTAAGGTCAAAACTGTTCCAGATTTCACTTCAGATCAGACATTTGGTTGATGTTAACAAGGTCCTCTCAACTCACCCTTGGCTTTAGGATGTTTGCCACTGAGATATTTATCAGTTGTTGGCAGTAAAAGCCTGTTTAAGAGGCCAAATACTTTATATATATAATACAGTAGCCTGCAAAATTTTGCCTTCAAGTTATCTTTTTTTTTTTTTTTTTTTTGCATTTTGCACACTAAGATTGCAGTTCAATGTGTTGTGGAGCCATAGCACATCATAAGACAAGATTTTCTTACTATACATATGACACATTAAATGTGGGAAAACATTTGAAATGGTTTATAAAGAATTGTATTTGTCTACCACCAAGACCCTTGAATACACAGGTGAAGACCAGTGTTTTATACATGTTTTGAGGGAAGAAAGCTTCTGTAAGCTTGCATATATGTAAAATACCATATACAGAATGCATTTGCTTAGAAGTGTATAGAAAATATCCATTCAAACATATTCTGTTAGATTTATCTTTATTATTACCTAAAATATTTAGTTGGTCACGTTACTCATGTACAGTATAGTGTCTTTCACTTATCATTTAGGGAGAAAAAATTTAATAGTTGATTCTTACCTTTTGAATTTGAAGAGTTTCATGTTTGTCAATGTGCTTATTTTTATGGGGGGTTTTTTCAATTGTAAAGTAACATAGATTCAAATTGTCATAATGGCCTTTTTCTTTTTGCAGCCAATCAGGAAAATAAGTAATACTTCACTTGAAAATGTATACAAATTATGGATGAAAAAATTTCTCAAATAATAAGTGATTAATAAATTTTTTAAATAATTGTAAAATTGTATAGAGTATAGAGACTCATAACTGACCAAGAGCAATTATATCAAAATTATATATATAACAATTAAATATATATAATAAATAAATATATAAACATTTTGCATTTCAGATAATAAAAATTGTTCTCTTCTGTCAATATGCTCTATCCAGAATTCCTCAAGTGGAAAAGTTTTAGCTTCATCTGGTTTATTTTAAAAAACAATCTTCTTATAAACTTTGGCTATCAGATTCTTAATAGATGAATCCAAAAAAAAAACCACAGATTAATTGATTTGCAAAATAATCATTAGTTGCAGCCCTAATACAAATTGTTAAAAACAATGTTACGTCTTCTTGTACTTGCTCTGTTTTCATCTCAGTGGGCCCAAGAAGCAAATAACATATTATTTAAGAGACATTATTTTTTTCTGTCAGTGAACGGTCCAATTTTAAACCAAAAATATCCGTTTATCTTTTATTCCAGCGCCTGGCTAACACCAAAGCCCACACATCACGGTTTGTCACAGCAAACCTCCCTTGCAACAAATTCAAGAACCGACTGGTGAACATCATGCCCTACGAAACCACTCGCGTTTGCCTGCAGCCCATCCGAGGTCTGGAGGGCTCCGACTACATCAATGCCAGTTACATAGATGGATACAGGTATGTTGTCCTCCTACAAACGCTAATGCGACCCGACCCTCCTGTCGGCTTATTGTGCCTTGATAAGTGACCAGATCTGAGCGCTTTTCAAAGCGGCCCTTTCATCTGTCATGTCGTGTCAGCTCTGTCATTACTCTGTACGTTCTCCCACAACTTGTCTTACGGTGCAGCACTCGCCTCAGTCCCTATGAACGAGATGGGGTTCCTGATGATTCAGCTGTTCAGAGTGGTTTTACGCGCGTGTTTTGACTGTTCCTCATCTTGCCTGAAGCCTGACCCAGTTTTCAGTGAGATGCCTGACAGATGAAGAAACGAGGAGAATAAGGGGAGGAGGTTGCCTCATAATATGTACTGTGTGTGTGTTTGTGTTCAGGCAGCAAAGAGGCTACATCGCCACCCAGGGTCCACTGGCTGAGACTACGGAAGACTTCTGGAGGATGCTGTGGGAGCACAACTCGACCATCGTGGTCATGCTGACAAAGCTGAGAGAAATGGGACGGGTAAAGACAATACAGAATTTAGTGGATTATTTGTTTTTCAGCCTATTTACACTGGCACACCTAAAAAAAATTTAAAGAAAAGAAAAGCGGTTGCCTTCAGAAGTCATTTAATCGTTAATCGGACAATAGAGTCCACCTATGTGTGACTTCATCCCTTTATAAAAAGCTTCCAATACTAGTAAACAAAGAAGACAGATGAAAAATTAAGATGTGGAGAGATTTAAAGCACTGTTTGGTTATAAAATAATTTCCTTGTGTTAAAATATCCAACATAGCACTGATAGAATCAAGCATCTCAAAGAAAGAAGCAGACTGCTGCAGACTTGCTTATGGCCATACTGGTAAGCAACCTCAAAGCTCCTGGTTACTCTGGAGGACCTGCAGATATCAGCTCCTTCAGTGGAAGAATCTGGAAACATCAAAATTGATAGCCTTTGTGGAATAGATCCAATTGGAAGTCGGTGTTTCAGGTTGCAACAAGCCATATATATGCATTCCTCAAGAGAGACAATGATCATATTTTGGCCTATGTGTTTTATAACAACATGCTGTGAGATAGTGTTCTTTAGAGGGGACAAAAGTTAAATACACTGTTAAATTTTCTCACTGTCAATTTATGGTACGTTACTGACCACTATCATTACTTTCTCAGTAATCCCCTGGGAATATAGATTACAATATTTCTCTGTATATATTTGCAGTAAGTGATTGTGAGTATTTTACAGTAATTTCCACCAAAACAATAGCTACATGTTGTAACTTCAATGTCTGTGGAATTACTGTGATATGAATGTAGCTGTGAAATCACAGTATTTTGACTGCAAAAGAAATCTACAATTTAAATAATACTGTAAAATACTATACCTTGGATTTCACTAGGATTTTAACTAAAACCTGTTTTGAATTTGCTCCATAAACAGATTTTGTTACAAAAAGTCAAGTACAGTAAAAACAAAATGATTACAACATACAGAGAACTGAAAATGAAAACATTTACACCATCCATTCGAAGTCCATTAGTTTACGGACCAGTGTCCTCACATGTGGACTGATGGACTTCTTCCTGGATTTAAATCCTGCCTCAGAGTTACTGTCCAAGAAGTACCTGTAAACAAAAGATTAATCCAGGTGTTTGTGCCCAATGTTGTCATGCCAACCGAGGTCAGACACACCTGGATTAATCAGTCTATCCAGTAATGAAAGACAGGCAACGAAGGAGCTGCTGAGATTCAAGCATAGAGTGCATCCAGTGATTAATATTTGGTAATTATGACAATACCTTTGAATACACTCCAAAGTGCAGATGCTTTCACCAGATTGCTGCTGATTGACGTTGTAATAGCGTGCTAAGAGTGCAGCTATCCCATTGATGACAGTTATATGGCCCCATTACGACCCCTCTTTCAAGGATAGCATCCAGGACCTGAACTTCATCAGCATGTTGTGCTATTCTAAAGGCGTGGATTCATGCAAATTAGTAGAATTTCTCAGCAGCATGGTTTGCTTTTGCAATAGCTTAAGTGTTGAAAAAGGAAAAAACAAACAAAATCCTTTTTGGGACTTTAAATAAGCAAGTAAGTCAGCTGATGTATAGCCCAGATGGATATATCGTGCTGAAATATGATATTTTATGGATGGATATAAATATTTAACAAATACATTACACCAAATACTGGTTCTACTGTATAATTTGGATTAAGAAAGCCAAGCTATGATCGCAGTCATGACAGAGAATTAAAACACAGATTGAAAAGCTATTTAAAATAATTTCTAACTTTGTGATATACAGAATAGAATGGAATAGAATTCAACTTTATGGTCATTACACTGTCACAAGTACAAAGCAGCGAAATGTAGTTTGCATCTCTCTAGAAGTGCTATACAGGATATAAATAATTATTTACATGTGCACAGAGACTATGTATGTACTGACTATAAATGGTGTATAAAAACAGAGAATAATTTTCAGAGGCTATAAAATAAAAAAAATATGTATATGTTTTTAAACGAAACATATCATTATGAAATTATAATGTTTGTTCAGAATTTATGTTCAGATGTTCTGTTACCACGGTTACCAGCTGGACCTTGAGTCAGCGCATTGATTTAGAGCAATAATAAGGCTTGACCGGGACTACGTTTCCAAAAATAAAAGAGGAAGAACATTTTCCAGCCTGATCATTGTTCTAAAACTCTAGTTATTAACCATGGTAACAAAACATCCAAACATATATTAATATAGCTTATTCACGGGTTATGTATCACAACACCGAGACAGAATTCAATACATTTAATTGAAGGTGGGTCTATAGTGCTTTTACAGGAGTGACAGCCTCTGGACTTGTGTGAAAGCGTGTGACAAAATTAGCAGCTTATAGCCTGGATTTTATTGTAATATTTATATATAATATTCTGTGTGGCAAAGTTTCCTGCATTTTCTCTACCAAATAACTTTTGACCTTCCCTCCTATGGATATGCGAAGATCATAGAAAATGATTCTACTTTTTTCATGTGCGAATTCACACACATAACAGTAGAAAAAGCTACTTAATATTTTAAATAATGTTCACCTTACCTTCTTTTTGTCTTCTTGCCGATGAGCGACAAATAATAGACATTCAATACTGCTCTGTCTTGGTCCCATAATACTCAACATTTTACCATAGTTAAAATTTTAATGCAGCGAGTTGAGTTTTCACAAAGGATGGTGTGACTACAGTATTTTACTGACAATGCTACAGTAAAATATTGGAAAATTGGCCAAATTCAAAGTTCAAAGTCATTTATTGTGCAAAAACCAATTGCAGAGTACAATACTAAATTATAGCACAATGTTGCAAATATTAGAAAAAAATACGGAAATGAATCGTGAAACATTAAAATTAAATATCCAGGTAATATCTTGCAGTGTAGGCTAAAAACAGGGACATCCTGGTTTAAAAGTTGCTAAAAGCTACAAAATGTTCTGACAAGAAAACATATATCCAGATCTACAATAACATGGTTTAGATTAAAGCATATGCAGGTTCTAGAAAGTCTAGTTCTAAATAATCAAGAATTTGTGGCAAGACTTAAAAATCTATATTCTTAGAGACTACCTATTTAGTCAGACTGAGTTTGGGCTGATTCCTTCTTATGTGGGTCTGTCACACAGAACCCTATTTTAGATCAAATAAAATTAAAGTTATTAAAGCTGTCCAAGGTACAGCAGCATACTTGGAAGCATCACACCTTGGGGAGTGGCAGCCTAGTGGTTATGGCATAAATCTTGGAATTTTAGGTTCTGAGTTCCAGCCCCACTCCCACTGACTGCCACTCTGGGTCTCTGAGCAAGACCCTTAACCCCACACTGCTCCCCGGGGCGCCCCACTCTGGCAGCCCACTGCTCCCTAAGGGGCTGGGTTAAATGCAGTGGTAAGTTTCTCCAGTGTGAGATCAATAAAGTGCAGTTATTGTTCAATTATTATTATTACCTTCCAGGATCCCAGTCCTGTTCGCCATTAATTCAAGTCTGGTTGTATTCTACTCTCTTAGGAGAAGTGTCACCAGTACTGGCCTGCCGAGCGCTCTGCCAGGTACCAGTACTTTGTAGTGGACCCGATGGCGGAGTACAACATGCCTCAGTACATCCTGCGGGAGTTCAAAGTGACGGACGCCAGGGTGGGTTGATGATTATAAAATCCTTGTTTTCTATGTTGCATCCAGACTGTGAAACATCCTCCTCCTCAATTTTTCTCCATTCCTCTGACATAGAGAGGAATAGAGAAAAAGAGGGCAGTGACGCGAAGCATGTCCTATCGACCCGCGGCGTGTGTTGCTAAATGAGTGTTTTGTATGCGCATGTGTGTTTGCACCACAGCCGGTCCCCGTTTATTGACAAGATGCCGCAGGCCATGCATTCAACCATGCCGTCTCCAGATTATCTTGACAACATGGGCGTGCATGTGCATGGATGTGCCAGTCATAGATAACTCCCGTTAAGCCTGTCCTGCAGTGACGCCACATTGACAGATGCTCTATTGATCTCCATTAAAGGGGAGTCGGAGAGGCTGAGCAGAAGAGAAAAGATGTAATTGCCTACTGAGTGGCTGACAGAAGCAGACGTACTGACGTTACAGTTTCAAGTTAACCACAGCTAACTGATCCCGGGTCAGATTACAGTAATCATTAGAAGCAGGGGGAAAAAAAGGATGTTGCCTGGCAAAGCATCTCTCTTTAGTCAATAAAGCTAGAGGCTCTCGAAATAGTCATTTTGAAATGATCTCCTGGAATCAACAGTATATGCATGATAAAAATCATGTGTTGAAAAGAAATCAAATTTGCTTTTAAATCAGAAATGTGTTCAGGTGTTCTGAAGAAACTTCCCTGCTCTTATCTTCGCCTACTCCTGCAGGACGGCCAGTCCAGAACAGTACGTCAGTTCCAGTTCACCGATTGGCCAGAACAAGGCGTGCCCAAATCTGGGGAGGGCTTCATCGACTTCATTGGCCAAGTGCATAAAACCAAGGAGCAGTTCGGCCAGGATGGACCGATCACCGTTCACTGCAGGTATTTAAATAAGTTTTTTTTTTTTTTTTAAGATATTGTGTCTCTTTAGCTGTGTAGCAGATTGGAGCCTGGCACCCTCTTATTTGCTCTGACATGGGTTTCTCTGACTGCAGTGCTGGTGTGGGGCGGACAGGCGTCTTCATCACTCTTAGCATTGTACTGGAGCGGATGCGTTATGAGGGAGCCGTGGACATCTTCCAAACTGTCAAAATGCTGCGGACACAGAGACCAGCTATGGTGCAGACTGAGGTAAACTAAACCACACAACATGAGCTGAAGGCATAGTGAGGGGACCTCAAGTGAAATACTTTCTGACAGCACCGTAGAAATCATCCATGATTAAACACAAAAGAGTTTAATTCATTTCAAAATTTGGAGAACCTCAACACAATAAATAAATAATTATTATATATTATAATAAACACATTATTTATTCAAGTCAATAAATAATGTGTTTTTTATCATCTAATCCCCAGACTAATTTCTAATCTAAAGACTAATTGTAAGTTTATACTCTATGATTGAAGAAGAAACATAGAGACCAAGAAGTGTAACATTCAGAGAAGATTTTAAGATTTTGAAGGTTAATTTACATGCATCAAGCTCTCATTTCTCACTGCTTTAGAGCAGCTTTTATTAATTTCTCATTTATTTCTGAGAACATTTCAAAGTGTTACCTGAATCCAGTTTATCAGACATATTTGCTACTCATATTAAAATTTTTAGAAGTTTTCTTCTATAACAGAACAGCAAACGAGAGGTAATAAATATTTTTGTACAATTAACATAAAAGGAGCTTTTTTAAAAGAAGCTCCTCTATACCTTTAAGGGAATTTCTCTGGATCCTAATCAGATATGAGTCTGGAATTTGACTAGGCCAATCCAAAACATTAGTTTTGGTTTTTCAGCCTCTTTGTGCACTTAAGTAGTTAGGCGTAATTGTTTCATGTTAGCACAGTAGGACATAAAACAACTAAATATGATTAAGTAAATGCCAAAACTAGTTGCATTATTTTTTTCAGCGTAGATGTTGTTCTTGGCCCTTTGCTTGCCTCCTGGATGAGTTGCTGTTGAAGTCTTGGAGTAGCTTGGTTGGCAGGCTACTACTTCAGTGTTCATCAGACTTTTTATTTTATTAATTTGTGGATAAGGGATCTACCTGTTGTTCAATTAAATCTCAAAACCTTAGGCCAGTAGAGGACAATGACTTTGTTTTTCTCCAAAACAGTTTCATCTTTGGGTTTTCTTTAGATTAGGTTCTGATGTGTTTTTTTTATTATCTTTTAGCCTACATCATGTTGCCAGACAGGTGCTTTAGAAGGGGTTTGTCAGTAACTGGTAATGTGAAACTGGATATAATTTTTTTTTTAAATGACATCAATTCTTGATTAATTTCTTTAGCAGGATAGTTTTATTTACAGTATTTATTTTTTTTAACCACCATTTTAAAATGACCTTTTATATGCTGCAGCCTTGTGTCGAAAAAAAAAATCTCTGCTGAACATTTTTTATGAATTTGTTCAAAAGTATTTGATAATTGTCTAAAAAAGCTTAACACTTGAGTATGGAGTTATTTATAGTAAAAAAAAGTAAAAAATGAAAATTAATAGATAGAAAACTTTCTATTAAAGAAAAGTAATGTAGATATAGTGAATAAATGGCATAACATAATAAATTCATAGCTGTCTTTCTGTCCCGCAGGATGAGTACCAGTTCTGCTATCAGGCTGCTCTTGAGTACCTGGGTAGCTTCGACCACTATGCAACATAAAAGAAATCAACACATCCTACTTTCTGCTTTGACGTCAACCTAACAGCAAACAAATTGAAGGAGGGAGAAACAGAGAGAGAGGTGGTCAGAAACAATACTCAACTTTTCTTGGAGGCAACATTTAAAGATTTAAGGACCAATTCTTCACCAACTACTGACAAAAGCAACAACAGTTCCTTAACAGCAGCCAAGCTCACCAGTGCATTCCCTGCTGGGCGCGGAGACTATCCATGTGTAATCCATATACTTACCTCAGTGTTCCAGTGTGAAGGACGTATAAATACATGTGTGTTGTGGTCAGCTATCTCAAGTATGAACCAGTGAAATACAAAAAGGTTTCTGAACAGGAGCTACGCTACTCTATGTGTGTAAAATACATAAAAGATTTAAGTGAAAACCATAAAAAACACAAAGAGCCTGGATATTTGCTGCACCCGAAATGGGCTTTTTATCCTCAACTTTATATCGATTAGTTTGATGTACTAAAAGGAGTTACAAGGTGAACGTTTCTTTGTGTCTATGAGTCTACTTCAAAGACGTCTACTGACCCGCTAGCCCTGAGGACCCAGGTGGACGCTCTTCACCAGATGCACAGTGCCAAGACTAAACCACGCCGCTCGAGCAACAACTGGGGCCTATAAGGAGGCATGACTCCAGTTTGTTTTCCAGCACGACAGACCAGTACGAGAAAAGTCCCTCCCCAGGTTTACAATACCTTGAGTCACAGCTGACCTTGGAGCCACATTGATTGGCCGCCACATCCGGAAGCTCACAGGGATCTGCTGCATTCTTCATCGACAAAAAAAGTCCTGCTTGCTGTTTGCTATCGTCCTTGTTCATCACCTCTCCTGGTTCCTCTTGAATGTCTCCCCACTTGTTCAGGAGTTGCTTATTGAAGGCAACGCTAACAGAAGAACTGAGCTCTATATGTTTCCGTTTGTTTCTTTTCTTTGTTCTCATATCTGCAGGTATTTGTTTTGGTGTTTTCCTTTGCCTTATGCAGACTCAAGTTTCCTCTCTTCAACATGCTGCTTGATGCTCATTCTTTGTTTACAAAGCGTTGCGTTGCAAAACATAACATCTTAAAGATAAGGATGGACATTGTGTCATTATCATCTTCCTACACTGACAGTTTCCTACTTGAATTGCAGTGAAATCCGTCTTATATTTTACCTGTTAAGTTTACTGCTAATGGAGTAATGAAGAAAATCCTAAAAATCAGAAAGCTTGAGGTAGAGAGCCTTGCTAAAGTATTTAAATATGTATATTCATTTGAACTGGTTTGCCTTTTGTCATGCTTCAACCATTCACATTTTTGGAATTTATTGCACATTTGTACAATGGAACAGCATAAATCAAGATAATATATATGAATATGTGAATACATTTATAATTGATGGGAGCTAAATATAACTTTATGACCCAGTTTTCAGGTAAAAAAAAAAAATCCTGAAACTTGAGCTTCATTTTCATTTGATTTTTTACCACTACTGCACCTGTTGTTGGTTCTTCCTCTTAAAATACATCAAAGGTTGTGATTGCAGGAAGACAAAATGTGGATAAAATACTTTAGCAAGGGGCTGTACATTTCCAATCCTTCATAGAAAGCCTTTTATATCATTTGTTTCATTTATCCATCTGTAGAAAAGCTAAAAACTTCACCTGTGGGTGTAAACTGCTCCGACTCGCGTGAAAATGTTAGTGTGCGTCTTTTACATAATTTGAACCGTATTCAAGCTCGACCCGATTCAGTGCTGAAAGAGCATATTAAAGTCTCGGTGGGAGACATATGGGCCAGTTCCACCACTTTTGTACATACAGCCTGCCACTAGAGTCCCACACTGTACCGTTCCTTACATCCTAGCACAGCGTATATAAAGTGGGACCGGATATGATGTACTTAGCGTCTTTAATAATAAGCCTTATTGTTCTCGCTCAATTTGTCGTATTTATTTCATATGTTTTTCAAAATATATATATTAATTCTATTTTGTTATTTTGTTGGGTTTTTTTAATTAAAATGTTTGTTTTTTGGCAAGTCAATGTTAAAGTATAAAGTTGCTTTTTTTCTTTGTTTTTCAATTTTTTTATGCTTTTTTTAATTATATGCTTTGTATTGAGGACGTATGCCCTCAGTGTTGGGTACTATTTGATACTAACTACTGATGTCTGATTAGTCATAGAGATGTACAATAGAGGCAGAGCTATTTACGGTTTACAGTGATGCCCCTTATGACCCCCCATCTCCCAAAGTCCAGCTATACATAGCTCCCGCAGCGGTGCGTTCAGGGCATCGCAAAAATCCGACATTTAGAGCAGACGTGATATGCTGTTGGTGTTTAGTTTGCTTGAAAGCACACAGTAGCAGGTGTATTTATGACAGGGAGGGGATATGAATCGTCTAGCTACACATTTTACACCAACAAACCCTCAGAGGTTATTGTTTAAATCTAAACTTATTCTCATATGAACTCTTATGTGTGGTCCTGGAGTCTTGACAATGTTTGAACATATATAAAAATATGTTACTCCTTCAATTTCTAATGATTATTGTGTCAAGAGAAATATATAAAACAGGCACACGTGAAATGTATAATGAACGTGTGGTGGGCCAGCTCTGATGATGCCATACCCCTCACTTATGTACTTGTACTTTCCTTTCAAACCATAGATGTAGATATTGTATCTTGAATTTGTATTAAAAGCAGATGGTTGGATATACGGCACTCTGTGCTGCTTGATTCCCATTGTCTTTCTGTGCTGTTCACTTTTCATCCACTAGATGGAGCCAAAGTCAGCTTAGAGTGGACTTAATAGACTTAATAAAAGCAGAATTTAATTTAGCTCGCAAAATAAAATATGTTTTTAAGCTGCTTATCACTTAAAAAGTGTTAAATAAGCTCTAGAACAGATTTGACCCTTTTTCTTATTTCCTTACTCATCAGATGACAGATTTCTTTTCGTGTCTAGAATGAAGATAGTGGAGATTCCTTAAGCGATTCTAGGGCTATGACAGGTTGTGTCATTTTGACTATGTTAAAAGGAGATAACTCAAATTACATGTAACTTCTTACTTATACCTTCTTATAACTTCTTTTAATTGTTTAAATTATTCTTTACAGTAATCATCATCATTTCTACATAATGACATTTGTGACCGACCTCTTATGGTTTATAAGCTGGTTTAAAAGGATTTCTAAAGGTTTAAGGAAACAACAGTTGTGCCTTTTTTAAGGGGGGGAAAGCTTGTTTACATTTTTATAAAGGCTTCAAAGTTTCTATACACTTATCTATATAATGGGGTGAAAAGAAGATAAAATAAATAAATATAATCTGCAAAAAAAAAACAGCACAAACAAAATTGTAACTCTTTATAATTTAAAAACAGGGTCTGGTTAAAATACTACAAAGAATCTGGTTTTATGTATTTATAATAAAGAGATCAAGTTTTTGGTATTAACAAAACTGTCATTTAGAAAGTTTTTATTTGGTGCAAGATTACTCCTCAAACAACTTATTTAGAAGTCCAAGAGATGAGACAGCATTCACCTATTGAAACACCACAGAAAAAACAACTGAGGAAATGTTTCAGTATTTCAGAAACCTACAAATAATAAGATCTAGTTACTTTCGGGCATGTTAAAGCAAACATTTGAATTGATATTTTCGGAGTTAAACCTTAAAAGATAAATGATGATGACCCTTGATGCTGAGGCCTGATAATAAAGTTATTTTCACCCAATCAGATCTTTCCCTTTCCTTCAGCTGGGCTAGAAACTGTCTTTCCAATTGTTGTTAAGTCACATAACACAGGAGGAATGCAAAGCAGCATAATCTACTTCGGTCAACTGCTTATAGGGACCTGACTTAAAACAAAATGTTTTGTTATTACTTTAATTTTGCTGAAAGCAAAATAATATTAAGTATAAAGTACAAATCTATCCATAGAGGCCTAAAGATATGGTATAAATGATTTAAAGAAAATCTGTCATTTAAAGTAAGTAAAATAAAACAACAGAAAGCTGCAGGCTTTTGGCCAACAGTGCACTGATAAATGCAAGAGGCTTTTAGTTTCCTTGTTTTTACTTTTGCATTTCAAAGTTGGAAGATAAATTTAATAAACATGAATAAAAGATAATGCTAATAAACAGTAGCCATAAACAGTGGAACTACAAGAGCAATTAAGCTATTTTTCATACTAGCAGGGTATGATTTCTATATTATACCACTTTCTTTAAAAAGTTGCTACAGGCCCCACACAGCAGACTATAGACAGCAGGAATGTTAATCTGTGCATCAGTGATAGCGAGGGTTATTTGTTATTATCTTCATAGGCTTGACACACCCCTGCCTGATCCAACCTGCTGCGTTAAATAATGAACCCAACTGAGCTCTGCGTGTGTTTTACTTTCTATAATCTACATGAGATGTAGGGGAAGGGTTGATCTCTTAACACAAACTATTGTGCCATGGCCATTCCCTGCTGGCAACAAAAGAATGTTTTTGTTTAGGTTTTTTGGTTTCTTTTTTTCCTGTTTGTTTTTATTAAATTTAGATCTGTTTTCCTCTAACAGTTCCTCAAGGTCTTTAAGAAAACGAGGTTTTAGGACTGGTCATTTCGAGGAAACAAGTAAAAAACTGAAACTAGACGAACAAGAATTTCTTTACTAGGTAGAGTCCCAGTATGGGTGCTGGGTTGCTGTGTTGAACTTTGGCCAGATAAGGTTGAAAAACCTCACTGTATAAATAATGCACGTCTGATTAACTCTATCATATAAACTGTTGTTTTGGATATGCGAGGTTGAACGGATTCTCTGTATTCTATCGCTGACGCTAAGAGAGGAAGACCTTTCTACCTCCTGCTGTTGAGAAGAATCTAGGAAAATGCAGGAAAGACTCCAGGTACAGTACCAGCATCTGCATAACATGTGTTTCTCTCCATGAATCACAGATAAGTATCTTAACATTGAAATCCTGCTGCACTTCATTCCTAACAGACAGTACGCTCTGTAGAAAGCTTTTTAGATACAAAATCATCGACAGCAACAATCGGTGTGTCTCGCAATAAAACAAGGTTTTGACGAAATATTGTTATCAGTGCATTAAAGTTTTAGTGTATGTGTTCAGAGTCTTGTGGTCTAGAATGAATTAAGACCCAGGCTGTTATGATGAGAACTCTGTTATTTTATGTTAAGTGTAAATGAACCAGGACTAGCAATTTGAAAATCATATCTGCTCTTTACTTCCACTAAGATATGCTACATGAACATTTCTTGTTGCTGTGAAAAAACATAATTCAAAGGTTCTCATATTGAGGCAAATTGGATCCCCTCCTGCTGAAAGGTCTGTAATGATTAATTAATTCATACAACTGGCTGTTAATATGAATTTCTCCATGTAAATCACCCAAACACTCATGCACAAGGTCCTTCATGTTAGATAATTTCTTGCTCTATGTCACCAGATTGAATGGATGTTGACATTCAATTTTGAAAAAGCTGGTCAAACACTCTTTCATCACAATGACAGTCTCAGTCAAATTTATATAATTTATCCTTAGATCTTTAACCTCAGTCAGTGTGGTTTATTTCATTTTTGTAGCACAATACAACAAAGTCAAAAAAATGTACAACTCAAATATTACAAAAATCAAAAGATCTTCAAAATATAAAAAGATATTGTAAAATATACCTGAAAAAATAAAGTGTGTATTTTTTTTATCCCTTTGAATTTGATACCTTTGAATCAGATATTGTAGATAAATAGCCTTCAAAATGATTCAAATAGTCAACAGAGACCATCTGTCTGGAATTTTATCTCTGCATAAACACAGTTGCCCTGAGAAGACCTTTTGGAGATTTGGAAGAGACTATCAGTAAATAAAAATCCTCACGAAGACCAAGAAAAACAGCAGGCAGGTCAGAGCTGTTCAAAGCTTGTAAATGAAATACACTTATAAGAGTAACACATAACTGTACGGCTACAAAAATATGATAGCTTAATTATTTCAGTAGACCAATAAAGTAATCAATAATTGGCAGTTAAACAGCCCCAAACACCAGATGTGATTTAGACGTTGGTTTTTAGGCTAAATCGAGCAGTCTGTCATAATCTTGTTTTAGTCCAAAAATCATTGTTTAAAATCGGGCTGTGTTTGGTCCATCTGATTTTGTCCCACTTTAGTCCAACGTTGAAAACACATTCCAAACCAGGTTTTCTAAAAATTACAACTTTTCAACTTCCACTTTTCAACAAAATGCACACGTTGTTTGGACGTAAATCATGTTCAATGTCTTTTCAAATGGAGCCTAGGTGGAAATTCAACTGAAGAAACTGATTGCTCTCTAACATCCACCTGCGACACAGCCAATCAGTCTTGGACCAAACCTCCATGAAAGCCAATCAGCATCCAAAGTTCATCTTAAAAGGCCTCCGATCTGCACTTGTCTGCTCCTGTGCGCAGGCTGTGGATGCGCTGTGTGACTTCATTCAGATGACAACGTTTCGACCCACCTCCAGCCCCTCCTCCACCATCGTAGCTAAAGCTTCATTAGAGTGTCATTCCACTCGAACTCTTACTGCGTTCCCTGTCTTATCTCAACCGGTCCGGCAGAAGACCGCAATGTTGAGCCTGGTTCTGACAGAGGTTTCTTCTCAACCGGGAGTTTTTCCTCTCCATTGTCGCTTCATGCTTGCTCATCATGGACAGGTTGTCTCAAGCTGTGTTATCCAAACTGGACATCCATCCTCCAGGTCCCTGAGTGAAGCTCTAGTATCAGCTCACGCAGTCCACTGGATCTCCCCATAAAGCTCAGCATACCATCTTGCTAACCAGCAGTCTACAGACTGAACTTCATCTATCTCCACTCCACCATCAGTTTCAGGCCTGGGGGGAAACAGCCCTATTCTTTGCCCCTGTTCATCCATATCTATCAAAATTAAGCGCTATGTTTCCTGCCGAGGTCTGAGCGCCAAAGACCAAGTAATTGTCTCAATTCATTTCTCCTAATTGTCTTTTCTCTTCTTGTGAGTTTTCGGAATGAACTTTTGCATGAAAGCTTAGCTGGGAGAACCTGCTAGTTAGCTTTTAGTCATTTACTCCACACACCTGGCAGTTATGGATGAGTGGCAAAAGAAAAATATTATTGACATAGTGTAAGTAATTTGCTACAACCCATTTGGACTCAGCCAACAAATGTAGCAGGCTGCTTTGGTCAGAGACGTCTTATATTGACGTTATAGACCAACATGCAAAAGTACACATCACCCTTTGTGAAATAATAAATAAATAAATAAAAAAGCTGCCTAATGTGGTGTCGAGATGTTTTTTTTCAGTCAGGTAAGGATAAATAGTTGGACTAAAAAGTGGTTTTAAACTTCCTTTTCATATTTTCATAATATTCCTGCAATGTCCGAGTGAAAATCAGTGGTAAAAATTAAAAACTTCTTTCTACTATCAATTATGTTTAGAAATACTAACAATCCCTATCCATATAGTCACATATATGGAAAATAAATAGAAAAAAGACAAAAAATATTTTTATCCTTTCAGAAATCAAAGCAGTTTTGACTGACTGTAAGTTACATCACAGGCTGACCCATTATTATTTATATTAATGTATCAGTCTGTGATGTAGCTTATTGTAGCTCAGGGTCAATCTACACTGTTCCAACAGGAACAAGCACAACATCCATGTTTTTTTTAAATAAAGACAAACTTTACTTTCCTGCAGCCTTTGCTAACAAATAGACACATATATTTAAACATCTACGCTGTGTAAATAAAAGGGATAGGCCTAGTGTACTTCTTTCAGTAATTCTTTCAGGTTTGAGTTTTGAGACGAACATATTTCAATTGTCATTACCTACTTTTATCGATAATCATTCTGCAAAAAATAATTATAGAAATCTATTAACATCAACATTTTATGAATTTTTATGTTATTATTAAGTAGTTATTTATCTGTGATTTCACTGAAGACTCCTAGATGACTTGCAGAGGTGCATAATTTTCTCTTTACCCTAAATATTTCAGATTTTACTTCTAAAAAGAACATGAATTCTGTATCTATCATCTTTAATGTTTGTATATTGATGTGCATAGTTAGTTTATGTTGTCAAGTAGTTGTTTATATATGAAATTTTTTTTATGTTAAATAAGTTTGAACTTTCCCCTTCAGAGTATTACTGATGCCACCGTCTGTTACCCTGACAACAGCCAGATGCATGTTTCACTCCGCCTAGCTGGGCGGAGCGAGACATGCATCTGGCTGTTGTCAGGTTAACCGTCTGTATTAGAGGGAAAAAATGGTGGGGGTGGCCAATGATTGGCTAAGGGTGGCCACCCTTGCATGGGTGTGAACAGACGCAGCGTAAATGGGAAAAGCTACATGTAAACCTTACAAAAACTGTTGAGTCACCGACTCTGTTTGTATGTGAGCTCTCGATCTTTCAGACTGATTCCTATCTGCGCAGGCAGGTTAAAAATACTAACATCTGCGTGACTGCCTGTCATGTGAACCCTCACCGATATCTCTGCATACCTTCTGTGAAGTCGCGTGTGAGACAAGCCCCGCCCACCTGCGCTGATTTACTCTAAAGCGGCCTGCTCTGATTGGTTTACTTTACAGAGTGCTTCCTTACCTGCATCCCGTGAACTACAGTAGGCTGTCTTTTCTATTGCTGCTTATTTCCAAGCGACTTTCAGGGGGAAAAACGAAACCCGAAAGACTCAAACACAGAGAGCCATCCTGGGTTGCACTGATAGATAACCCTCACTTATTGTTGACAGCTGTTAACACTGATTTCTGGGTTTAAATTTCGAGATTGGTTTTAATCATGACTCAGATAAACAGAAACCTCTCAGGGGACAATTCGTGAGTATTTCCCTATTTTTAATCAATCTAATTATAAATCAGTTTTTTTTTCTCCTCACTTTTTACTCGTTGTATTTGAACCGCTATGCTTTCCTTGGGCTTTTTGACTTTTATGAGATTTATCTTATATAGCTAATGATGCAACGAATATTGCATGGTGACCAGATTCTGTTGCTCGGTTTGCAAAGTGAAACCAACCTCTAGAGATCCTTGCTGTTGCCCAGAGACTGCAGAGGGACTGGCAACAACTCAGAGAGGCAGTTCTCTGCTAAACTTCTTATTTTTATTCCTTGTATGAGTTTTCTTACATAACCTCTGACTTTAGTGCATTTTACTGTGATTTTAAGGGATAAACTGACATATGACAATGGAAAGGAGGGAGGTTTATTTACATGTCTAAAATGTACAGTGTGCATCAGTGATGAATTACCCTTTATAACCAGACTAAGTTAAATTAGATTTCTAGGAAAAAACAGCTGCCTGTGTTTTGTTTGGTGTTTCTTTCTGTTTTAGTACTTCGCTCATTCATGTTTTTCAAGTAGCCAAGATGTATTAATCCATCCTTAATTCTATGGATTTTTTTTTCACGAGATTAGGACTTGAATTGACCAATGTAAACCATAAAACTGCTTTGTAATGCTAATCCATTTCATTTTGACTGTTTGGGCTGCTATCCAGCTGGAAGGTGGACCTCTGCATGATGCTGCCAATACTGAGTTTTTTAATGTGAATTGTTGTTTGTGTTGTTGTCTCTTTCTTTCACCTACTGCTAAAGGTGCATTGTAATAAAAAAAAAAACAAAAAAACAAGGACCTTGTTTTTTGGTTGAAAACTGATTTTAGTTATGTAAACCTGAAAAAAGGGTTGAATGTCCATCCATCCATCCATCCATCTTCTTCAGCTAATGCGGGGTTGGGTCGCAGGGGTAGCAGCTTCAGTAGGGAGGCCCAGACGCCCCTCTCCCCAGCCACTTGGGCCAGCTCCTCTAGGGGAACCCAAGAAGCTCCCAGGCCAGCTGAGAAACATAGTGTGTCCTGGGTCTCCCCCTCACCAGGGAGACATGCAGGAGGCATCCTAAACAGATGCCTGAGCCACCTCAACTGGCTCCTCTCGATGTGGAGGAGCAGTGGCTCTACTCTGAGTCCTCCCCGGATGACTGAGCTCCTCACCCTACTTCTAAGGGAGAGGCTAGGCATGCGGAGAAAACTCATTTAGGCCGCTTGTATCCGGGATCTCGTTCTTTCAGTCTGGACCCAAAGCTCATGACCATAGATGAGGGTAGGAATGTAGATCGACCGATAAATCAAGAGCTTTGCCTTTTGGCTCAGCTCTCTCTTCACCACAACAGACCGGTACAGTGCAGGCTTCACAGCAGATACCGCACTAATCCACCTGTCGATCTCCCGCTCCATTGTCCCCTCATTTGGGAACAAGACCCCAAGATACTTAAACTCCTCCACTGGGGGCAGTACATCCTCCCCAACTGGGAGAAGACACTCTACCCTTTTCTGGCTCAAGACCATGGTCTCGGATTTGGAGGCACTGATCCTAATCCCTGCCGCTACACACTCAGCTGCAAACCGCTCCAGTGAGTGCTGTAGATCACGTCCTGATGAAGCCAATAGAACCACATCATCTGCGAATACCAGAGAGATGCGATCCTAAGGTCACCAAAATGGATACCCTCAACACCTGGGCTGCGCCCAGAAATTCTGTCCATAAAAGTTATGAACAGAATCGTGACTCCTTGTCGGAGTCCAACCCTTACAGGAAACGAGTCCGACTTACTGCAGACAATTTGGACCAGGCTCTGACACCGATCAGGGGAATCACACCCCTAGTCTGCCAATCCAGGGGAAGTGCCCCTTATGTCCACGGAATGTTGCATTAGGTTGCATTAACCAACACAGCCCCACAACACCCAGAGTAATCAGGGCGAATCTAATCACCCCTGAGACCTTGCCACTGAGGAGCTTTTTAACCACCTCAGTGACCTCAGCACTAGAGATGGGAGAACCAGACCCAGAGCCCCCAGGCTCTGCTTCTCAATGGAAGATGTGTTAGTGAGATTAAGGAGGTCTTCAAAGTACTTCGCTCACCGACAGATGACGTCCCAAGTCAAGGTCACCAGCCCACCACTCCCACTATAAACAATGTTGGTACTACACTGCTCCCCCATCCTAAGAATCTGGATTATGGACCAGAATAGCTTCGAAGCCGTACAGAAGTCTTTCTCCATTGCCTCTCCGAACTCTTCCCACGCCCAAGTTTTTGCCTCAGTGATCAGTCGAGCCATCTGCCATTTTGACTGCCAGTACACATCAGCTGCTTCTGGGTCCCACTGGTCAATAAAGCCCAATAGGACTCCTTCTTCCACTTGACAGCTTCCCTCATCGTTGGTGTCCACTAGTGTGTTCGAGGGTTGCTGCTGCGACATGCACCGACAACCTTGCAGCCACAGCTCTGACTAGTTGCCTCAACAAGTTGGTTATAAAAACTGGTTGTTCCCTGATCTGACCGTGGCGGGCCCTGGGCTTGGCTGGACGCTGGGGGTCATCTGGACATGGTGCCCCTAAGTGTAAGATCATGTTGCACTAGCTGGTCTGCTCTATGCGTGGAAGGGAGTCCTTTGCTCTTTCGCATCTGCACCCCATCCATGGCCTTTTTTGCAGGGACTGGCTCTCCCTATATATCATGTGGGGGACTGGTTAATGGAGTTGGGGTTTGGGATTTGAGGTTTGTGGAGTAGTGGGGGGGGGGGGGCTGGGGGAATGTGGGTTGTGGTCTGCCCCTGGTGATTAGTGCCATGCTTCCTTGGCAGAGGGTGTAGAATAGGCTGGGAGAGGAACCCACAGAGGGTGTGTTCCCTCCTGAGAGTGAGTCTGGGGTGGGTTCCCTCCTGAGAGTGAGTCTGGGGTGATGTTTGGGCAAGAACTGAGCCCCGTTGTTGCCCTCCACCATTTGGTAACGCCCCGTCCCAGGCCCTCGTTTTGTCTGCCCCATTACTGGGTCTATGAGCCTCTTTCCCATAGGCAGATTGACCCCCAGACCCGGGAGGTGTATGTATGAGGACTGTAAGAATATGTTTAATGTCTACCCCTGTTTTCATCTCTATTGAGTGCTTGTAAATGTCCGAATGAGTTTAAGGGTGGGAATGTGTGAATTTGACTGGTTGAATGTGAATTTTCTTTGTCTGCTTGTCAGGTTGAGCTGTCTCATTTCTGGTGGCTGCTGACCAAACCTAGGCCCCCTGGCCTCTTTCACCCTTAAGGCTGATCTATACTTCGAAACTAGGTTGTCTGCGTAGGTGTCCAGTGAACAAAAAGACGTCCCCGCCCCCTCCGCAGACACTCTGCTGCAACTCTCCCAAATTGTAGGTCACTGCAGACAATGCCGCAGACATGAGGCCGGCTTGTTTTGTTTTTATGACCGCAATTGCGGAAAACAACTCGTGAAGTTGGACAAGCTAGAGGTGTGGGCGAGGTGTGAAAGAATGCTGGGACCCTTTTTTCACCTGGATCCCCACTTTTTTCGCTAAATACTAAGCTGCATCTCTATACCACCCTAAATAATATTGTCTAATTATCATAGGTTTTGCCTTCTACACACATGGCTATCTAAGAGATTTCTGCCGCTCTTGAAGCTTTTTTTAATGTTTACTTTGTTTGTATGTTGTCATAATTTTTCCCCCCGCTGTTCTGTTCTCTGTTTTCTGTCCCTCTTGTCTCATACAGGTATGGAAGCAGACTTCTACAGTACTAGTTTCAGACTACTACATTTACTGCATATCTTCTGTGTTGTCTATTTTTTCTGTTTGTTTTTTTTATTTCCTCTCTTTTCATGCACTCTCCTGTCTCTCTTTCTCTCTTCTCTTAGTTTATATCCCCTCCTTTTTCTCTCCTCCCTTTCCGTCTCCGTGTTTATCGAATTTAATTTTACTCCCAAAATATACAAGTACCAAGCAGAACATTATGGCAACAGTCATAATGTTCTGCTTGTAAAAGCAAAGCTTTTGGGCTATCATCTAGCTCTGGGGCATCTTTTCCCAGAGCTATATGGGCAAAGCAGGACACCTAAAAACAAACAAACAAACAAAAAAACTGAAAATTCAGCTAACTATTGTGTTTGTATTGTGAAATGCAGGGAAAACATCTTTTGAAGCTGGCTTTTATGTCAGAGGCTCATCGTTCCTTTAATGCTCTTTTTCAACAATACAAGTTGATGCTAAAGAGATGTTGGTAATCCAAATAATATTGTACATTATGTATAATAACAGTAAAACCTTTTATTTCTTCTACAAGTTTCAAGTTGGTCTATAGTTTGTATACCAGTGATCAGGAATTGTAACTGCCATGCGGTTTCCTAATAGTTACCGAGCGTAGTATTTGCTTCTTTCAGCAACCATGAAGGTTGGAGGTTTGAAACTTGGACTGTTACTGACCCTGAAACGAAAAAGCCTTTGTAGCTGAAAGATAGACTAAACTGCTTTACAAAAATGAACACTCTTCTACCTGTTTACAATTTTAACAAGGTGTTTGTGAACAAAGAACCAATTCTCCTTTCTGAGACAGAGCAGCAAAGCTGAAGGTAATGAAATGGTATTTACTGTCAGCACACTGGAACCACTTTAATCTATGCTGATGCCTGTAAAAATGGCTACACATTGTGTTCCCATCAGTGATTTCATCTCTTTACCTTGTTTCATATCGATCTGTATTGTGTGAGGCTCATTCAGAAAGCTGGATCATCCCTTTGACATTTTTTTCTCCTGTACTAGAAGCGTGGATTCTTTAACCCCTCTTGTCAAGAGAAGAGACAACTGTAAGAAAGCAAGCCGGAGCTTGAGTTTAGGAAATTTTGAATCTGAAGCCAGGCAGCTAAATCAAAGCTTTGGAATAAGCTTAAGGTATTGTACACAGCCCATTGAACACCACAAAGACAGAAAATAAAAAGAGAGAGGACAAATTATTGTAAGGTTTTGATGCTGTACTTCCAAATTAAACTAAATTCTTTATTACTTCAGGAATCACATCATGGCTGAAGATTATATTGGCAGATCTGACAGGCTCCTCATCTCTCATGTAAGCCTCTCTAAACAAGATCCATAACTTTTTTTATTCACTCAGTATGTTGAAGCATTTTCTTTGCAAAAGGAAGCAATTATTCAAACTGATTGCATGACCGTTTAAAGCTATAAAGAGCTATTGCCCAGATATTTTGGTCTAGTTGGGATTTACGATACTAGAAGCTTTTTAAATACCTGTTTAAGCATTTATGTTATAGAAAAATGTAAAGATTTTATTTTCTAAACTTACTAGTACTTCACAAACAAGTTGGGATGCACCAAAATGAAAAAAAAAAATGTCTGAAATTTAGGACACCAAGGCTGAAAACCAAAACGCCAAAGAAAGTTATTATGTTAAATGTTAAAAGCATTTTTTGGCTACAGTTTGTATTAATCTATTAAAAAAAACTCAGGTCTTATTTTTAAGCTTGACGCATTTCAATAAATTATAAACCATTCAATAACAAAGGTACATAAATATTTATTTTTGTCATACCCTTACCCTTTTCTGTGCAGACACTGACTTGAACTTAAAATGGAAGACAGATTAAAATCATATTATTATTATAATAGATTCAGAATTTAAAAATTAGTACTACAACCAGTATACCCTCAGCAATGGGTTTCTTTGACCACTCCTCCAAAAGGGCCACATTTGTAGATGGCACAACTAACAGTTGTCCTGTGAAAGTATTCTCACACGTATGCTGTGAATCTCTACAGCTCCTCCAGAGTTACCTTGGACTAAAATGCCCTAGTTCCAAACATGGCCAGGTGTTTAAATGATAAATCTTCACGTTGTTCATCTTTAATAATCACAAACACAGAAACACACTTGGACAAAAACCCCAATTTCAGCAAATGGACAGTCAAAATCATATTTTAGCCTAAATGAAAAGCTGTTATCCAACCTTAATAGGGCTGTAGATGTAAAAAGACCTGCAGGCCTTTAATTCTGCATCCAAGCCAAGTTCGTATTTATAACACTCTGGTTTGCTAGCCCTGATTCAGTTCAGATTAATACATTTTTTTTCCAATATGCCCTGATGGAGAACATCATGTTATTTTGTAACTGCATATATATATATATATATATATATATATATATATATATATATGTGTGGCATCTGAAGTTGACATTATTTCCAAGGCTCCTTCCCATTCAAAAACTATTTTATGAACAGTAAATTTATTTTAATGTTCTTTTTTCTGAAAACTTGAACAAAAATCTAGTAAAAAAGCTGTTTGTTTTGGGGCTTCCTATTATATAAACATTTTCAGACTATAAAACACGTCACAAAATGAGGTTTAATGTGGAATTTGAAAAATTGAATTTCATCACTTGATGTAAAATAAGAAAACCGAATGAAAATATGATACAAAATATTAAAACATATAAATGCTGGACTTTAAACTTCAATTCAAGTTTTCGTTATAGAAAAATTAAAGTATATAATGACACTGGAAGAAAATAGAAGATTACCCAGTAGGAGTGCAGCCCAGATTATTTGGGTACTTTTTTTTTAAGCAATGTTAAAATGTGTATGTATCCAGTATTTAACATTAAGTAATTTACCTCTGACCAGCTCCACTTTAGTTTATTATAAATGAGACCCTTTGTGTACATCAGGTTACAATACTGGAAGGTAGCCGGTATCTCTGTGTGAACAATAAAACAATAAAGCACTATCCAGGCTAGATATCTACACTACCTGATATCTAAAATCAGTTAGTGACCCTTCAGGTGGTGGTAGAGATCTTAGATACGTGGGATGTTTGCTTGACCTATATCAAGATCTAAGAACCATACTGTAACTAGTGTTTCTGCTTCCTCTTCAATTCAGTTCTAGTAAAGAACCCATTTTATGTGTTGAACAGCCTTTAAACAATGTAACTAACATGCACAAATCTCAGCTGTGTTTTCTTTCCCCCTTAGAGCTTTATAAAGTACAATAAAACCTTCCACAAGCTGTTTCCAGAGATCCCTAAGGAGGAAAATCTGACACATGGTGAGTGGTCACACCATCAGAGTTTGTTACTTTTTTACTGAGACTGATTATGGAAATCACCTCACAATCTGGATTTTTCTTCCAGTTATCTCTGCTGTCTTAATTTCCCAATCATTAGCCTCTTAATTAGTTCGATTGGCAAATCCTCCACAGAGGATGCAGAGCTGAAACACTTTGTGTGGATAAATGCTTTAGCAGAGGTGCTAATGTTGCCCCGGTGACTCTTTATGCTTGTGTTGTTGCAGCATTCACCTGTGCCTTGCAGAGAGAAGTTCTGTATCATGGAAAACTCTATGTGTCGGACAACAATCTGTGTTTCTATTCGTCTGTATTGCTTAAAGAAACCAAGGTAACTTATTTAATGCATTTTTGATCAAATATATGTGATATATACATGATAAAAAAATCATTTTGATCTCATTTAGAAAAGAAAAAGCATCAAAGAGCAAAACATCTTTGTGTACAGAAACTTAAATAAATTTCGGTGATGTAATTTACTAATTAAAATCCTTTATACGGAGAATACTATCATAAGTAACTAATGTTCTTAGACCTCTATTTATGTTCATAGTGCATCAGACTAACCAAAAAGACATTCATTTTTAATATAGTAATGTGGGTCAGCTTATGATTAGTTTTTGCTTAATCTACCTTTAACCTAAAAAAAAAAAAACATCTTAAAAAATGTTGATTTGATAAAAACCCTCACTGTTAGGAGGGATTTTTTTTTTTTTTGAAATGAAGTCAAGTTAAAAGATTGAAAACAGATAAAGTTTGGTGCAGTGATAAAGGTTTTTACCATTGCATATTTCAGCTGTTTTCCCATATCTATTGTCACTCTACCATTATTCAAATTTTCTAACTATCTGAACAGTAGGTTACAAAGGAACCCAGTCCAACATCCACTACTCTATAGCAAAACATCCTGCAGGACAATGCTTATCCATCAGTTTGCATTCTAAAGCTTCAATAAATGCCCATTTATGCAGCAGAGCAAAGAGAAATATAATTAGGTCCCATGGGTTTTTCAACTGGCTTAGTAAGTTTACCTCAAATATGATTTAAGATTCTTCGACTTGACCATAAGACCATAACAAAGACAAAAAAACAACAACAATTGAAACAAAGAGCAAAGCATAATGGGCTACACTTTTCCACAGGGGTTTAAAAGGAACTATTGATAAACAATAAAACCATTCCTTCTGAGAGGCTCAACTGAGTATTGTAGGAAATGGCTTTTTCACTTACAGCCTGGATGGTCTGGATACTTTCTTCCCTTGATAAAAGGAGCCATCACTTATAAAACTGCTTTTTATATTGGCTTAGTTTACCTTTGTGAGGTTTAGCTTGCTCGATCAGCTCATGTATGACTCAAATGCAGTATGGCATCCAGAATTGACCTGCTCTGTCCTATTCCAGGTGGTGATTGCTATTTCAAGAATAGAGAAGATAAAGAAACATAACCCAACTCTGTCTGTGCTATCTGTACAAACATCCAGTGGAGAGAAGGTCAGGCTCTGCACACACATTCAGAACCACATTGTTTAGTTTTCTATTCAGAGAACTTTGAGCCCTGCAGTGCTTTGTGTATGAGAAAAATATAAAGTCATCCCAGAAGAAACATCTAATGGTAATGAGTTAAACAGAGTATAGAACTTTAGTGCTTTAATAGTTAGGATGAAAGCCACTTATTATGAGTCTAGTACCTGTTTGAGTTGCTTTTATTTCATTTTATTGCAGTTTGGAATTTTAATGTAGATATAAAATAATGTATGTTTGTGGGAGCGTTGGTGGTGGCGGTGCACATTTTTATCTAACGTCAATCTACCAAGGTTAGAAATTCATTTCTGTATCAAGAGGAGTAATTAACACCAGACTCTATTGTTTTAGCTCTAACTAAACAAATCAATTAAAGATAAAAAAGTAAAAATTATATTTAACTTTGCAGAGAAAACTCATCCACCAACTTTAGTCCCAATGAACTCTTTCTCTCTGTCTTTAAGTATTTCTTTGCGTCACTGAGGAACTATAGTCTCTGTTATGGACTCCTCCAAAGCCTCTGCTGTCAGGTAAACTAAATGTCCTCCCAGTTCATGAGCACATCGATTCGTCACATCGTTTTTAAAAACTTTTTTTTTTTTTTTTTGCATTAGGAGGAGAGTCCAAAGGAGGAGAGACCTTACCTGTCCTCTCTAGAGTTAGAAGCTGAGCATGACGTGGTGAGTCTACAGCCCAGGAAACTTTAGGCTGTATAAATCAAGAAGGAACACAGAATGATTCTCAGCCTTCCCGTATGCTCGTCTACAGGCTTCCAGCTTCTCTAGTTTAGAGGACGGTTCTGACCACGTTGATCTTAACACCAGCGTCGCTCAGAAAGAGGATGAAGGTACCGATGCAAACGACTCATGGAGCTCGACACAAGATAGCAGCTTCATAAACGAAAATAGTGAAGGTGACTAAATGAGAGTAAATGACTGATCAAACTTTCTGTTTCAGCCTTGGTGACTCTATTTCCTCCTCTGCTCCTTTGTCATGTGGTGTTTCCCAGGGCTCGGTCCTGGGTCCTATCTTGTTCTCTCTCTATTTGCTCCCATATTTAAATTGCATGGGATTGTTTTACCATTACTATGCAGATGACAGTCAAATTTATGTCCCTCTTAAAAAGAAAGTTTCCCCACTTTAAGACACAACGGCCTGGATGTCTCTGAAGTTTTGTAAATTTAATGAAAGAAATACTGAAGTGATGGTTTTTGGTGACACCACTGGAATAAATCTGGGCTCTTTGGCCCAACATATAAAACCAGTCATCACTAACCTGGGGGTAAAACTGGAAGCTGATCTGAAGTTTGATAGCCAGATCAGGACAGTTGTTGGATCAAGTTTTAATCATTTGGGGCAGCTGGCCAAAATAAAGCCAATTCTTTCAAGGCAACAGTTTGAAATGGTTTGTTACCACTCAGCTGAGTTATTGCAATGCCCTCTATGTGGGGGTTAGTGCCTCCTCCATCTAACCGTCTCCAGATGATTCAAAATGCTGCAGCACACCTTTTAACTGGCACACTTGGGTATGAGCGCATCTCCCTCTTTTTACCCTCAGTCCACTGGCTGCCCATACATTTTAGAATTCATTTAAAATTATTTTATTTGCTTTTAAATCCCGCAATGGGCTTGCGTCACTGTGCCCCTTATAGACCTAGTCGCTCTCCGGGTTCGGCTGGTCAGCTGCTCTTCAGAGAGCCTAAAACTAAGCGGATGCTCAGAGGGGACCACATTTTCGCTGTTGCAGCTTTAAAGCTCTAGAATGACCTGCCTCAGCACATCAGACTGTCTCCTCTGACAGTTCTTAAATCTCCGGTCAAAAACCACCTTTTCTCTTTGGCTTTAACACCTAGCAAGATAGTGGGCATTATTTTATTTTTATTTTCTTAGTTTTCACTCTTTTTTTTAATCTTTTATTCCTTTTATCTTTTACCCAATTTTATTGATTTTGTGAATGTTATTTTCACCCATGTTTTAGCTCTTTAGTTTTTATCTGTACTGTTTTATGTTTTATTTATTTGTTTTTTCTGTGCAGCACTTTGGTCAGCTGTTGTTGTTCTTAAGTGCTTAACAAATAAAATTGGAATGGATTTGAGCTAGTCTGTTATAGGGGCATTGTCACATTTTATGCCATGTTGTAATCATTATAAAATAAGGTTATTTACACCAATTGTCCATCCTGATGGTGCTAAGATCATCCTTTTTGAGCCTAAATAGAATTTCACCAAGGGTGATGAGCAGACATGAACGGATTTGTGCGGAAGTACCGCACAACTAACAGAAAACCAGATGGGGGCAAATGATGCAGCTGCTCAATAGAACCCCACCGTCCTGCTCTACTGAATTACCTGTCTGTCTCTGTCTTTCTACTGCGATCTTCAGTGACCATTTATATTGTTTTCTGCTATTTGTATCTTATCCCTTTTGGAATCAAATATTTATGTGTGGTTTAATGCTGGATCATGGGCTTTACTTCTTTATTTACACAACTTCACTGTCAGGTGCAGACTTGTTAGCCCCATTACTGCCTAAAGAGTAAGCAACTGGTTTATAAATGTGAAGTCTCGCAATGACACTGTGTGCCTTTATATTTTTTTTTATTATCATTATTATTTATGGTTTCATTCTGTTTGGCAGCTGGGTCATGGATGTGTTGGTTCCTTGAAAAAGTGGGGCCATTATTGTTCTCCAGAGAAATCCTGAGTCTCCGAGTTGTCGTCTACATCTTCCTGTTCCTGTGAGTAATACTACAGAGGTCTGCTACAGTTCTGACCACTACACAGGGGAATCGTCTGAGTAAAAGATACTCAAATTGAAGATTTTACTCTCTCTAGAGAGTAAAATATGCTCTTTTGTAGGGCTGGGCTTTTCAAGAGTAAACTTTCTTTAGTTTAATTAAAAATCACATACTTTAACCCTCCCTACATCACTGATTAACTGACATATTTACATTCCAACCCTAAGGCACAAATTCATCTTCTCCAGTAAGTAGCTGCCTAAAAGGCTTGTCAAACATTTTTATTTGCTTTCAGTTTCTCTATAGAACAGAAACAATTTATTACTTAGAATCAGGTCACATGTTGTTCCCCTCATTACTTTAGTTTAATTAGAAAGATTAGAGAGATTGTTTTTTCAAAGAACATCACAAACAAAGGCCAGGACATCCTTGTAAGAGAGATACCAAATCTCAATGGATTTATTTTCTGCTAAAATAAAATAATGTAAAAGAAATAGGACTTTGACTGAATACCTTAACAGATTTTTGCCAGTTCTAGTTGCGATGTTAATATTTCCCTCTGCTAACGTGCAATCTGTTTTTCTCTAAAAATCCACGTACACAACCCTGTTCCCGCAACCGAGAGAGAATGCCTATAAAATACGGCCATTTCTTATACACTCTGTTTGAAAGTTGCTTGCGTTGTAAAAACGTTTTTTGCATCGCTCATACTTGTCAATCTTTTGGAAAGATTACTTTCCAAAAGATTTGTATTTTTTCCACTATGTCAGACTCGCCACGGGTAAGTCAAAATGGGGACGAACACAAAGGACGGCCTTAAGTAAATATATCACCAGAATGATTGACAGTTAGGAGGACCACTTATTTAGATAATCCACTGTATCATTAATCTAATTTGAACATAATAAGAATAACCACAGGAAATAAAATAAATACTTTAGAAACACCCACATTATGGTTTGATTTGAGAGGGCAAGGCATTTGTTAAGGGGGCATTGCCTGCTTTTGCCCCAATGTATCCCATTTGTCCAATTTTTTTGTTTTCGTTTTTCAAATTTTCATGTGATGGACTGATTTTCAAAGCCTTCAATATTTAAATGTTTCAGTATTCTCTCTGACCTGTCTGCAGGGTCCCCTCTCATGATGCTGCTTTTAATTTTTTCTTCTTTACCAAGTTTCTCTTCGAAACCTGGGCCTTTGACTGTTCTAGTTAAACAGTTCAACTGAAACATCATTAGTTCAACTTTTTCATTTTCTTTAGTGCAACTGTTTTTAATATTCTTTTTTGTTTCTTCATTTTTTATTTTATTTTAAATTTTTCCTACTTGCTTTGATTCTGTTTTATTTTCCTATATTTTAATCATATAAAGCACTTTGCATTGTCTTTGTACTGAATTGTGCTATACAAATAAATTTGCCTTGCCTTGCCTCTTAAAAAAAAGAAAACGTGTTTCTAGGACAGCTGCATTTATATATCAGGACTCTAATAATTAGGTAATTGAGGGGGGCTGTAAACTTTCATGTAGGTGTATCAGAATAAAGTAATTGCATACATTTTGAAGTGTTTCCCCTTTTCTGCTACTTCACTGTTGCCATACTATATTTTAATGTAGAAACAAACATTTTCATAAAATACTTGATAATGAGTCGGTTTAACCTGGAAACCAAACGGTTTGCATGTCGCATGTCAACATTCTCCAACTCCTTCAGATTTTTTTTTACCTACTGAACTTTTATTACGTAGACAGGCTTCATGTTATGCAGAAGCAGACATTATGAGCACTTAGCTGAGGAAGCTCAGATCTTCTGTAAAAGGAAAAACCTTACATAAAATAGAGAGTATTCTGTTAGACTGCTCTCTATTTTCTTCTCTGTAAAGAAGAAAAAAAAAAGTTTTGCTTTATGTTAGATGTATTTTTGAATTCAGAAACAAGCCTAGACACCTCAGCTGGTATGTTGAATTACTGGATCAGCTTAGAGCGCCGAAGCGAGGAAGAAACCCTGTGATGATGATATATAACAAGATTTTTTTTACTCGTGCTCTACTTAGATAGAAGTGATACCTTAGTGTCGGTAAAATCAGCATGATTCTCTCAGGCATTTCACCCTGCTTGTAAAATTATATCTCTGAGTGCAGCTTGCAGAATCCGAGGCATGCATTCATGATATGCTCTGTTCTTTTTCCAGAATGCTGCTGCTGCTCTTGGTATCTGGCTACATCGGGCTGAGGATCACGGCTCTGGAAAAGCAGCTTAGCTCTCTGGGAGCCCTGACCTCGCAATACACAGAGTGAGTACAGCCACCCGAACACAAGAAGGAGGTTAGGGAGAAAAAAGTGAGTTGGCTCAAACCGGTTTTTAAACAATTAGCACCTGCTGATCACAATAAGATATGGGGGAAGTAGCCTTACTGGTTGACGGCAAACGTTAAAAGTTAGTGCATTCCAGACAATCACACCTACCAGGGTGTAATGTGGGTACTGGTACAGTAAGCTGAAACAACAAAATGGAAACTATTAAATCCCAACAGTTAATCTGGTGTCAGACCTTGCACTTTTCTCTTTTAAGTTGAGCATTTACACCTGCAGATTTAAAAGAAGTGTAAGATGGGAAAATTCAGTTTTTTTTGTTTTTGTCTGCAACCATATATCATAAAATGTATTTTAACAATGTTTGCATTTAATATTTTCCAAGTAAAAGATTACCCCTTTTTTTTTTCCCCACCAGGTACCAGGAGACATAACCACCTCATCTAGCAGCATCTCAATAAGGAACCTTGTGAATTTTGTACGAAACTCCTTTTTATGTGGAAAATATTTTTATTCAGTATTGCATACAGATACTTTCACAACAGAAGGTAAACTAGTGTTTAATTCGGATGTTTTACAGCTAAGGATAATGACACTTCCGGGTTGTTTGAACCGGGTTTAGACCTGGACTACCAGTATCAAGGTGTAACAAGACTTTCTACTACCAAGTAAATCCTGTGAAAGACCTCCTATGTTTTAACCCAATACTGTATGAATTATGTAAATGGAACAAATGTATGTTTTTATTGTAAAATAGATGTTAAATTAAGTTGATTAATTTTAATATAGCCAAAACAGATGCAATTTTAGTGTGCATATTTCATCCATAATATATATTGAATCTGCCTCAGTTGACATTAAAGCCTAACTAGACAACTTTATTTATTTATTTTCCAAATGTTTTTATTGAAAAGTCAGAGGTAGAACAAAATAAATCGTCATTGTGGTTACAAAAGACTTTCTGTTTTTCAAACTTCCACCAAGCCCCCCCCCCCCCCCCCCCCCCCCCCCCCCCCACCCCCCCCCACCCCGACGTGAGCCAAAAATAATTACAACTGTGATTGTAAATAAAATAAAAAAACACTGTACCAACAGTAAATTTCAGTTTTTGTTTGTTAAATGTAGGTAGGCATCAGAATAAACAAATTAGAACAGTAGGTAAATAGCTCAATCTGCATTTTAAAGGTCTTCGTCGCCAACAAGGTATGCCTTTGTGTATGGTCAACTTTTTAATTAAAACCATAGGGGTGGGAGTTCTTGGAGGCCACTAAAGTATGATAATAACATATTGAAATTTGTCTGAGCACCTTATAGCAAAACTGATTTTTTTTCCAAGTGCAGAAAAACTAGACGGCTTTAATGTAAACTAAGGAATGACACTGAGACAGCAGATAAAGCCTTCCTGGTTGCAGGAACTAAAGGCACTTCCTTGACTGAGATTATGTCCTTTCTTACAGATAAACAATGTTTGAAAATTCCTCACAACAGACTCAAGTTCAACTGAACTGCTATATAACCTTACTGATTTTTCCCCCCCCCCTCTAGCCCCAAATACTGCATGTACTGTATCAAGCTTTTTGTGGATGGAATTTCTATACTTTGTTAGTGACATGATCTGACCAGCAGAGGGCAGTCAACCCCTACAGATCCACCAAACCCAGGGTGACAATAGCATTTGGCACCCATAACTAGTTAGACCATAAAACCTATTAAAATGCAGAAGCTAAAAGGTTTTTTTTTTTTTTTTTTTTTTTTTTTTTTTTTTTTTACACCCCCCTCCCCATAATAATCATGATCTAAATGAATAAGCTTTTGTTAAAAAAAAAAAAAAGCCTAAAAATGTTAAATTGATGTGTTCTGTTTACCTGCATTTAATGATTTATTTAAATATAACTTTACAGTTTAGCATTTTCGGCATTCTTCACTTCCGGCAAGGCAGCAGTTTTAAATGTGCACACAAATATTTGCATTTCTATGTAAATGAACAGTTTGTGTAATAAATGTTAACTTATAAACCATAAATTATTCAAAGCACCCGATTTCACATTTTGTACTTAAGTGATTTTATTTTGTTCTCCATAAAAAGGTCAAGATTCAGTCCCTTGAATTTGTTTCAGTACATCATATTCTCAGGTCAAAAAAGGCAACATAAAATTACAAATTATAATACAAAGAAAAGAACAGGTAAGTACAATAAGCATATAAACGGTCTACCAATAGGTTCTACACCCCCCCTCCCCAACATCTTACCCAGTCAACCTCTAGAACAAAAATCAACATTACATCAGTTAGTATCGGCATTAAAAAACTTCAGATAAATGTACTTTTTTTTTTCCCTTTTTGTTTTTTTTGGGGGGGATTTTTAATGTTCAACGTCATGAATTCAGCTTAATCCTCACATTGACAACACAAAAGATTATGCTCCATCCAATCATTTGCTCTGCAAAACACAACAGACATGCATACAGTTTTTACTGCTTAACCCACCCTCCCTCCCTCCCCCGTCAAACATTCAAGGCCAGAGGATATGACATATCAACCATAATGGTGCACCATAAACGGCACGTTTCAAACCCAGTAACGTCTCCCAGACCCCCCCACCCCGTCAGAAAACTGAGCAATAATTTTACTTCAAGAGAGCGATTCATTATTTTTTTTAACTCCCAACTTCTTCTGACTCAGTTTCTGAGTTTGAAAATGTAACAGGTTTCAATAATTCAAATATCATATACACAAAGCACAGGATGAGAACAGAAAAAAAAGCCCCTGTTTGAGCAGACAGGAGGTGAGTGGTGTTCAGAAAATGTTTTTCTGATGCTTCCCTAGACCCACTCGCGCTCCCAAAAAGGAGCAATCAGGTCAGTGCCGGTTAATAAATGTTCCCTTCGATGCAACGCAGCCACTATCACTGAAGTAGATGGATCTCCTGTGCAGCAAACACTTTGTACTACACCAGGACCTGATAGTACTTCTCCAAACAGGAAAACCTGCATCCAATGATGCTTTCCTTTAAAACAGTCAATGGTAACAAAAAAGACACACATGTACATTTTATACCCTTGTTACACTTTGGATGCTTTGTACAATAGTGCTGAACTTAAGACCTGCTTTTTCATGCTAGATCAGATATATATATATATATAAATGTGTAAATATATATAGTGTGTATGTTGTGTTTGTGTGTGTATGTCAATGTGCGTGTGTGCGTACGTGTGGTGGAACCTGCACCACACCAACAGTGACGAGGCTCAAGTATGGCTTGTGTCAGACATTGCAGCGTGCTGCCAGCCACAAGAGAGCTTCTGTACATTTAGGGCCAGAGGAGGAAACCAAACAGGAAGGTACAGGAAGCTAGATCCCATCCTGGCACCTGATCTCCATCACATCGTTAGTCCCAACATCAAGACGCATGATTATGAAACATCCAAAACATTTAACAACTTAATTACATCAACACTAAAATTCAACTAGTAAACGTCCTGCGATGGGCAACTCAGAAATGTTAGAGGATGATCAGCGCTAACCAGCGGAGCTCAGTTTATGCACGGTATAGGTGAGTAGAAATGGAAGTTATTCACGGTGTTTTGTTGGATCAGGTGGACCGAAGCGTTAAGCTCTGAAAGGGCTCACCTTAAGCTGCAAGTCGGGCTGTTTAAACATTTAACAAACGTTTTTACTGCACTTCTACCAGGGGCAAACTGAAGGGACAGGATTATTTGGAGACAGCTGGTTGATTTCACAGCAAACCATAACGGGGGGGGAAAAAAACTAAAACATTTTGAGTACCTGTTAAAAGTTTACATGTAAAGCATTCAAAGAAATGTTAGATTTATTCTAAACTTTTAATAATGCATTCGAACCATTCTTTTCCCTGGGCGGAAGGATATATAACACTCTACTTCACTTTTTCAAAACACGAACTACACTAGCTGCACAAAGCTCAAATATCTACTTACACTGGATAATGGGATGAACTTATAATCATTTTAGTTACCATAAAGCTACAATTCTGACTTGGTATTGGAAAAACCATCTGCATTTGTTTTGTTTGTCAATCAGAAAACAATGAATTTGTTTGCAAGAGAAAGCTGCTGAAAATAGTATCACTGAAATGACTTTATATCAATATTTGCAGATGTCTAGATGGATAAGCTGATTGTTTCACATCAGAACAGTTCATGGTCAGAGGAGGAAAAGCTGTTAAAATAATGTTTGAATGAGTCAAAAAAAAAAAAAAATAACCTTTTACACACTGTGAACCAAACTGATGAGCCAATCATGCTGCACATTGATCAAAATGTTGATTGATAATTAAAATGAGGGGTTTACTCCAATTTTTTTTTTACTTTTAACCAGATATTAACAGATTTATGGTTGAAATGTGGAGTTGTTTCGTACTTTGACATTTTACCCCAGCATCAAGTTAAAAGAACAGGCATTAACATTACGGTTGAAATGGGCTGGACCTCAAACCTGGTTAAAAAATCCAAGTACTGAATAAATAATGGAATATATTTAAAAGCTGGGTCTGTAATAAGACACTAATACCTTTAAATGATCTGTTTTATTCCTGAAAAGAGTTTTTAAAATATTCAGCCATGATTTTGGAGCAAGCTTTTTAAAGACGTAAACGTGTTTTAACTGACTACAGCATATTTTACATGAACAATGAATAGGAAGCTATTTCCAAATCATTTAAAAAAATAAAAATTAAAAAAATTAGCTTCCACTTTGTCCCATTCCACCCTGAAACAAGAATAGTTTAAACCTTATTTTTTTACAGAACGTCCAAGCATCATTAATGCAAGTAAACTTCTGCCCAGACCTCCACACACCAACCACCCTTCCACGTCAGACATGCTGGACTTTTATGAGGTGTTATCTACTTGACTGGTTCGTGTTCAGGAACAGCCACTTCCTGAAGTGTCTGCAAATTTCTAATTAAATCCTATTAGATCATCTACTCGGAATAAGATGGTAAAAAGGCAAAGCAGCTGTGCACTTCAAATAGAACTAGGAAATGAATATTCTTTAAATAGGAAAATCTAATTCATTCCCTGAAACATGTTTCTGCTGCTTTAGTGGAAAGCTGAGGACTGGCAATGACATGGAAGTTGGCCTTTTGAGAATTAATGAGGGAAATTATGAGACAGCTGTGAAAGGATTTCAGGCTATTCCAAAAGCACTGGAACAAGAAGGCTGGAAACAAACCCCAAAACCACAGAAAGTAGGTTAGTGTTAGAAAAAACCTGGGAATGCCCTGGCAGTCAGACTGATATCCATCAAAAAGGTAAACAATTAGTGGGAGGGGGTGCATGCTTGATCAGTATTTGTCCATTGGAAAAGAGAGCTAGTCACTGTGGAGGTATTCTTCATTACACACAAATTACAAGATAAAAAAAAAAAAAACGTAACATCAATATTGATGTCCTCGTTAGCCTTCCACTATTCTAGTTTCCAAGTCATCAGGATGTCCTTCATTTCTGCACACATACACACACGCATACTAATGTGTGCCCAGTTGTTTGGACACGCAGCATATTCACCAACCTTCAGATTTACATCTGTGTGCCTTTTTGGACATGATCTCTCATTTATCTACCTAATTACGTCACCAAGTTTAAAATCTTCTTTGAAACTGCTCAATACTTCCACTCTGAAATGACTTCATCTATATTTTTTGTGTGTGTTTCACCAACACTGTACAAATGTATAAAGCTAATGAGGTTTTAAAAAATTTAGTCACCTTTAAAAACAGGAAACTGAACACAGGTTGTGTTTGCGTTGAACCTGTAGGTGCTGTGCTGCTTTAAAGACACACAGATGTGACCAAATTCACACCCACACACACACATCCATTGCAAACATGCTCACCCACCCTTTCACACATGCACATACACAGTGTCAGAGATACAAACACGGAGAGGCGGATTTTTCTCAGGCGTGCTGTGCAGCCAGGTCCTGGTTGATGAAGCGCCGTAGCCTCTCCAAATACTGGCTATAAAGCTCGATGTCGTTGTGGCCGGCCCCCTCCACCCACAGGGGCTCCACGGCCTTGGGACAACGCTCGAACAGCGCAAGGCCGTGAGAGAAGTCGATCACCTCGTCTTCTGTGCCGTGAATAATGAGCACTGGAGATGGGATCTTTGAAACCTTTTCGATGCTGGAAGACAATTTGAGAGATTTATGGAGTACTGCTTTATGGGGTTAAGTGCATTTCAGTCATATTTAAAGTAAGATAAGACTTCCAAATATGACAGACTGCAGCTGAAAAAAGAAAAAATCTTTAGATGTTCTCTAATAAAGAACATTACTGCATTGATATGGAGTTTTTGAAGTATTTCCTACTGAGGCTACAGTAAAAAAATACATAAATAAATGTGAAAAAGATTTAACCAGGGGAAGTCAAATGTGTGTTATAAAATTTGTATTATTTTAATGCAACTTTGCATGCATATAGTTAGCAAATAGAAAAGCCAGCAATAAATATTCTAAACTTAACCAGAAGCTAAAACATTAAACTGAAATATTCTGAATTATTGTAGCGCATAAGTTACCATAACAAAAAAATATATATAAAAAGCTTATTTACTTAAAGCATTAATAAACCTTTTAGCCACTAGGGGGACTAGGCCTGTAACTTGCAGGTTTAGGCTGCATGGCAGCAGAATCTGACAGCAGACCACTTTGAACTATCAGACTGAGAATTCATGAAGTTAGTTTTAAAGACAAAGCCACATTCCCCCCTAGATTAGATCCTGCATCAGAGAATCAAAAGTATGTCTGATCAGGTAAATGTGAAATCTATTTTGTTGCCTAACAAAGACTTGGAGCTGCGTTAGTTCTCCTGTTAAAGGGGCGTTCAGACTAGGAGAAAGCTGCGCTCTGAGTCACATTAATCATTTAGTAATGGATGCAACCCTCTTAAGTTACACAGGTGGGTTTTTAAGAAGGGCAGCCTGCACAGAACATTGATACAGTTCAAGAGATGTACACCGAACTATAAATTATTTAATATATCTCCAATTACTCTGGGGACAAAAGTAACGAATTGTTGCTTTAATCTTTTAAGCTTTGAATGAAAAACTGAGATAAAGAATTAATGAAATCTAATCTTATCCCCAAGGGATAGAAGTATTTTTATTTCTTTTGCCAGAATTCATTTGCATTATACACTGTAAAGCTATAGGCTGCAAATTTCCGGGCAGCCTAGATCTAATTGTAAAAGATTTATGCAGCTGAGGTTCACCAGAGGAAAGTTTCAATAAAGGCTTATTTTTGGACAATCAAAAAAAAAAAAAAGTTTCTTTTGTTTTGATGATGGTTGATTTTTTTTCTGTTTTTACACACAACTGAATAGAATTCTATTTAAATAACTATAATAAGTTATTGATTATTATTTTTAAATTTATATTTATCATTTAAAATATCCACTTTTACACAAATGCAATAAAAACAAAAACATCTCAGATTAAACACTGATTCCTTGAAAATAATAGTCTTAAATGGTATGCAAAGAGTTTCAAATGGACAAATAATGTAATAAAAATCTAGAAAACTTAGGTTTAACTTTTGTTTTTTCATGAATATAACAGAAATACAACTATATAGATATGGAATTTTTTTGTATTCGTAAATGTGTTATGTGTTTTTTGCAATAGCTGAATTTAAAAAACCTGCATGAACTTTCTGTTTTGTGCCTGAGGTAAGGAACTTACTTGGGAAATGCATCAAAGCAGTAAGTCTTCTTTGTGTCAGGGAAGGCCACCCTCATGCCGGAGGTGAGAGGAGAATGAAGGACCACTGCAGCACACTCGAACCTCGACGCTAAGTCTACTGTGGGCACTGTGCCAATGCTCTGTCCATACAGGATGATATTTTCAGGGCTGATGCCATACCTAAAAGACAAGCCAAAACATTTCAGAATAAAAAAAAAAAAAAAAAAAAAAGATCTTTAGCTTAGATTATATGAATTTGACAAATTACCAGTTGTTGCTATTTTAAATGTGTACATGTGTGACTTTGATCAACAGTGTGTGATCAAAGTTAAAGCACTTTCATCACACACACTGAGGATTATGCCCTTAGAACCATCATAAACAGCAAACTGTGAACATCACCTGTGTGACTAAACTAAACTATGTTTTAAAATTTTATTTTATACAACATAAAAAAAAGACAATAATTTAGTTTCCCTTTAGTATTTGGTTGTATTTGCAGTGAAGAGAGAGTCGAGTGAAAAGCCAAAGCTCTCGATATACTGGTCGTTCTACGTTCTCACCGTTACCTACTATCATGAAAGAAGGACAGAGATCCTGCACACAAGCATCTGAAATTATCTTCCCTAAAGCTGGACATACACTGTTCGATATTTTCAATCGTTGCACACAGCTACAGTAACTGTATGACAAAAAACAGTTTAAAAGTTCACAGCTCACGGTGCATATTCTCACACTGCGCGGCCCTACGCTCTGATGCAACCTTATGACGGTCGACAGAATTCCAAACATGTTCGATTTTCTAATCGCCCCTCGTTGCCCCCTGTATACTAGATGATGTAGTATGCACCATCAGGCTGAAACTCGGCCCGATCAAAAAATTCTTGCACAACTGGAAAATCGTCCCGAAAAGGGTAAAAAATTAAGAGATATGGTGAGGAGCTAGGCCATACGGGACAGTCACAAAGTAGAGACCCTTCTCCACATCAAGGAGTCAGCTGAGATGACTCAGATATTTGCCTATGATGACCCCTGGATGCCTCCCTTGGGTGTTTTTTTCTAGGCATGTCCCATCAAGAGGAGGACCAGGACACAGCTCAGGACACGCTGGGGAGACTACATCTCTCAACCAGCCCTCGAACGCCTTGGACTCCCCCCAGAGGAGGTGATGTCCGGGGAGAGGGAAGCCTAGGAGTCCCTGCTGACCCTGTGACCCAGACCCGCATAATTGAAAGGCTGCAAGTATTTGAATGTATTTGTTAAGCAGAATTGTAAACGTCTGTTTTTCCTAAAGAAAAATCTGTTGAGTTACAAATAACTATAGAGTGATACATTGGCCAGCTGATATTAGTGTGTTTTTGTTGTATCGCCATTGGCCAATAGATTGACTGGTGCATCTCTGGTAGTACTAAAAGTAGAATTAAAATCTAGGTCTCAAGTTAAGCCTAGCCAAGCTTAACCAAAAATCTTACTTTTTTAAAGTCCTAAGCATGGTAAATCATTTACTGGTCAGCATGTTACTCTTTATATGAAAATAAAAACTAAACAAATGAATATAATGGTACATACTGTAGTTCCCATGTGAAATCAGATACCAGGATTCAATCTGTTGCTAACTGCCATGTTGGTAGGTACTCTATAATTCTTTTGTTTGACAACAGATTCCTTTTTTAAGCTAGGAAAGGCTTTTTCATGTGGAGTGAACTACTGTTCGAAGATGAGAGACATGTGTTATTTTAACTACTTAAGGATTCCATTTATTTACCAACTGTGCTCATGCTGGGTTACAGCCTTTATAGTAGAGCATATCTATTGCTACACTTCTCTTGACAAAAGGCTTTCACTAGCCGCACTGCCATTGGGTGAGTTTGCCTCCAAAACAAGTGTAGTTGGGCAATTTGCACCATTTCTTCTCTCACTGTACAACGGTTAGTGAGGTGGAGGGAGCAGTAAAGACACTGCAGGTCAATGCCGCTGGTCATTTTGAGCAGTGTGTCGCTGCTAGCTATCGTTGCCAATTAAATAGTTAGGTATTAAGACTCATTCCTGGTGAGGAGCACTTTCTAGCTTGCAGTGTAGTGAGAAAACACGTCCACGGTCGTAAAAATGTAAAATAATTAACTATGTCAGAGCTGGATATCAGAGGCAGTTTGTCTGCAACATTCTTCCTGCTCTGTCTTATTTGGGTCAGCAGTGATTTTGTGGAGGTTTTCTTCTCTACAAACTGGTCAATAACATTAATACAAGCTATTTTTGATTGCCTGGAAGCCATGATGATCATGGCCTAGCCAGATGGTACATGGAACACTTCTATTTCAGGCATGTGGGACATATACATCTGGAGAAACTTTTGTTTTTAAAGCTCTAGTTACAATTCAGGAGACCAATGGGAACTCATAACTTCTTAACTGCTAAAAGTTATTATCAATATAAGACAATAACAGTCTACTCTACATTTTCTGTCTTAAAAAGCTAAATGAACATGATCAGAAATAAAGATTATGGTTTAACCGTCAAAAATGTATACAATTTTCATATGAGTTACAGTAAGAGCCACCAAGAGCTTTGCATAATGTCTGATAACATAACTGATTAAACTATATTGAGCCAGTGGTTGACAGTCGTTTGTCTCACAGGTAAATAAAACCTATCTTTGCTCCTTACCGGGAGCGCAGGGCATGCCATGCAGCATCAATATCTGCGTAAAGGTTCTTCTCAGATGGTTTGCCAGTGCTAACACCGTAGCCTGAGTAGTCGTAGGAGAAGATGTTGCAGTTGATGCGTGTACCTAAACCAATGTAGAAACTGCTCATCTGGCCGAGGTCTACGGCATTGCCATGAGAAAACAACACCGTGAACCTGAGAGAGAGGAAGGGAATAAAAGGATGGAAGAAAAAACGTTAATCGGGGCCCGAAATAAAACCAACAAACAGACACTAATCCAGATGGCTTGCTTACACCATATATGTTTATGAAGTGTGTATCTGAGCACATTCAGTGGTGATTCATGTCTCACCTGGCATTGGGAGCACAGCGGATGTACATGCATCCCACCCTGTTCCCTCGGCTAGATCTGGTCAGGAACACATCAGTCACATCCAGCTCTCTCTGTGAATACTGAAACTCTGCTCGTTCTGTGAGGTGCAACTTCCACCTGCCTTCTGGCCCACTGATACTACTGCTGGTGCTGGCAGCCCCACCACTGCCGCCTGCTCCCCCAACACTACCACCACCACCACCACCTCCTCCTCCTCCTCCTCCTCCTCGATCTGATCCACTGGAATTACCCAGCCGCGAACGCAGTCCTGGAGCTCCGAGGGAGGAGGGAGCAGCCCCAGAGTTGGCGGTAGAGACAGTTGTTGCTCCAGATCCAGCATCTGGGTCAGGGAGTAAAGCATAGGTGGGCTCTGGAGGGAGAAAGGCCAGTTTGGCTGCAATGCGGCTGGGGCAAGGGGGGCAGCAAAAGAGGCAGCATAGCTCTCGTATGGACAAGCCGTTCATCTTCTGGCACAAATCTAAAGAGGGAAAACAGTAGATGTTAAAACTTCTGGGGGAAAAAACAATCCAATTCAAGTCTTTCTATAGACGGAAAAATCCTAAGTATATCTGGATAGCTGTATAACATTTCAATAAGAGATTGGACGCAAGTATTTTTTTATATCACAATTATAGATTAGTTCAGTGGGTTTTCTAGTAGTTATTCTGTGTTTGTCTTGTATTTCTGCTATCCCTCTCCTGACAAAATATATAGATGCATGAAATTAACAATTTGAGAATTCGGGTGAGACAATCCATGTAGATTAAAAACACAATTTTACAATTATTATGAGCTTTGATATATAAAATCACATTCAGAGATAGTATTTTTTTCCTTTTTGATGATAAAATATAACAATAATACATTTGACTTATCAACACTTAATAAAGCAAGTACACTTTACAATGTTATTGAAAGCTTTAAAATGCAGTGGAGGATCTTGAAGTGGATTTGCTGCTTTATGGAGCAGTGAAGGTGTTTTAGGATGGGTGTTACACAGTTCTTTGAATGTAACTTACACTTTGACTTTTAAAGAAGTCTCTTACATCATGGCAGTGAGTCTAATAAACCAACACTCACACAAACATACGCACACTTATTCAAAGATTTGTGTAAATTAATACACCTCATATTACAACCCTTCTAAATTACGTGAGCCAAGAGAAGAAAAAGTTCAAAATTTACAGCAGTAGACTCCCTCACTGTTGTATTTTTGCAGACGTATGTATTTCTATAAGACCGTAACTCCTGGACCTTTATCTCAAAAATCCAAAATGCTCCAGAAAGGAGAGATAAAGACGTGTGACCCTACAGCACTAATTACGGCAGCGGGTAGGACTTCAACAGCGCTGTGACCGTTCAATCCCAGACCCGTTTTTCCACTTTGTCCTAATGCTCCACGACTGTCTGCGTACCGTAGCGTAACATTGTTTTTGGACAGTAAAAAGTCCAGCAAAACAAACTGACGTCCATGAAGGAGGACATATAAATAAGTCCAAGGACTGATCCTAGGAGAACACCAGAGGTTTGAATGATATATTGGAAGTTTGCAATACCTATAGAAGTGAGCTGTTTTTAACTTGAAGGTTCAATTTGAGCATTTTTAGCAAGTCAGTCTACCCGTCATGTAGCCAAATTTTAACATTCTTCTAAGATTGGATGATAAGACTTCCTGATTTGTGCGACACTATGACGAATTTTTCACTTCCCTCCTGCTGTCCCTCAGATCAAACCAATGCCCCGCATATGATTGGGTTAAACTAGGGAAGAAAAATAAAATTGAATATTCACCTGCACTTTTCATAAACACAAAAAAGCACTGCAGCAACAAAGACTGTAGAATGGCTCATAATTGGGTGAGTATAATGAAATTTTCACACAGCTTTGGTGAAGGTTGCTGTAATTAAAGTCATTTTTCAATATGATATTAAGTGAAGCCGCAAAATAAAGCAACACAGTGAAAGTGAGTCACAAAAGCAGCGTTAGTCCTGCATTTTCCTCTATAAGTATCCTATTTCTCACACTTGCTTTTTTTAAAAATCTGGTCATCTTATTCTGAGAGCAACCAGAGCCTCTGGGTTCTGATGCTACTTAATTCTCAAAGTCTCTACCAGCACTGAATGATGAACTACATTAAAAACAAAGAGCTATTTCACAATGTCCACTTAAATGAAATAAAGTGACAAATATTCTGATAGCATTTCAGAGCAACAAATCATATCTTTTAATAATTGCTTTACATTTCTGTTCATTGGATATCATAAGTGTTTTGCCTATCTTAAGAAAATAGCAGCTTTGGAATTAACCATTAGTTGACCGATATGATCAATCAACTTAGATTAATTCATTAATCAATAAAAAGTACCACTTAGAAACCCTCTTTAACAGTTTTGGTTCTACAGCAAGATCTTTTAATCTATGGTGGCTCACCTCCGGCCTCATCCTTTAGGTGCAGTAGTGGATGCACCTGATAGTCGCATTAGTTTAGACCACAATTAAAAGCAATGCAAACTGTCAACCGAGGTGTCCAAAGGCGGTCCTCCAGGGCTCCTATCCTGCAGCTTTCAGAGGTTTCCCTGCAGCACAGCAGACTTCCATTGGCAGTCGGTGATAGGCATTTTCTGAACTTTAATCATTAGAATCAAGCTCTGTTGAAGCCAAGAAACACTGAAACCTGTAGGACAACAGCCCTCAAGGACTGACTTTGAACATGGCTGCTTTAAACTATACCTTTTGGATCAGTCATAAATATTTATCAGTAATAAACAACTAAAGCTGTTTGGGTTCCTGGGTTCACCATTTCCATAGACGGAACGATTACGGGGAATCTAGGGTACCGTATTTTCACGACTATAAGGCGCACCTAAACGTCTTTTTTTTCCCTCAAAATGTGCGGTGCGCCCTATGGTGCGGTGCGCCCTATGTGTGTTGTAACTGCCACTTTTGAGACCTCCTCATTGAGGAGATGATGAAAGAGTGGCTGAATGTAAGGAGACCAGGTGTTTTTTTTCCACTCATCACCATCGCTGTAAATATGTAACTCCATGCGTGCCCATCTCACAGTTGATGTGAAAAACATGGGGAAACAAATTAACGCTGTGCTCGCTGTTCAACCGCTCGACATCGGTGTGAACCGGACCCAGCTGGTGCAGCAGAAGCAGCGAGTTTACATGCAAAGTCAATGGTTGACGCGCGTATAGGTGCAGCAAAAGGTCCCGCAGCGCGTTTTGAGCAGCAGGCGCTGCGGTCGGGAGCGTTTAAGCATCTGACGCACCGCCAACGCGCTGCTGCTGCTCGAGATGGAAAAATTGAAGTTTTGCTGCTGGACGCGCCGCATCAACCAATCAGAGAAGCTGATCTGGGAGCTGACAGCGAGACAGACACAGCGCTCTGATGACATATGAACGCAAATGAAAAAGGCTGGATGGATGAGGAGATGATGAAAGCGTGGCTGAGGCAGGTGTATGTGAGGAGACCAGGTGGTTTTTTCCACGGATCACCATCGCTGCGTGCCCATCTCACAGCCGATGTGAAAAAAAAGGTGAATCAAATGAACGCTGTGCTCGCCGTTATCCCGGGGGTCTGACAAAGGAACTTCAACCGCTCGACATCGGTGTGAAGCGCCCGTTCAAAGTAAGGCTGCGAGCGGCGTGGGAGCGATGGATGACCGACGGAGACCACAGTTTCAGGAAAAGTGGAAGGCAGCGCCGGGCAAGTTACGCCACCGTTTGCGGATGGATTGTAGATGCTTGGACTAACGTGTCTGCTGGCTCTGTTGTTCAAGCTTTCGCAAAAGCCGGCATCATTTCTGAGGAGCCGCGCTGCACTGAAAGTGACTCTGACAGCGAAGAAGGGGAAACTGGCATGTCTGATTTAGCGCAGCTGTTTAATTCAGAAACAGAGGATGATGACTTTGATGGGTTTGATTAATACTTTGTAATAAATACATGAATAAAGCACAATCATACTCAGTTTTGCTCCCGCTCTATTTTTCTACCTGAAAACTTAATTCAACAGCAGCCTCTGGGCGGGTCTCCTCTGGTTTCACCGCGGTGGCTGGCAGGTGTTTTTTCATCTAAATAATCTAAATCTTGCAGCTATATTTGCTGTGATCAGTGGGAATAAATAAGTATAAATATGTTTTTAAGTGAGAAAGTCCACCTGAAAACTTCAAAATTGCAGTCAGTTCATCCAGATTATCTATTTCTGTCGGAGCCGCTCAGACCCCCACATACCAGCGGTGCACCGGCAGTAAAAATCCCTTCATCAGCAGCCTCTAGGCTGGGCAGCGTCCGGGTTCATGCGGCGGCTGGCAGGTGTTTTTCATCTAAATAATTTAAACTGCAGGCACCAGGATACCGGTAATAAAAGCGAACATATTCCGTCGGCAGGTTTCAGGATTTTAAGTTAATTTAGGAGTGATCACAGCGCTGTGTCATCTGCGATGTGTCTGTCTCACGGCTCCCAGGTTTGATTAATACTTTGTAATAAATACATGAATAAAGCACAGTCATACTCAGTTTTGCCCCCGCTGTATTTTTAAATACGCAGTATAGGTATTTAAAGGTAGTAGAGGACATGTACCTGTATATAAAAAACGCGCCCTATAGTCCGGTGCGCCTTATGTGTGTGTTAAATACAGAAATGGGACACATAACTGAGAGTGCGCCTTTTAGTACGGTGCGCCTTATGGTCGTGAAAATACGGTAGGTTCTGGATGCGGGTAACTATCAGCGGTACCGCCACCTATCATGACCCAATGGGCTCAGATGGAGCGGGCTCCTGTTTGAGCCCATGGTTGAGCTCAAGACAGAAACAGCAGGAAATCTTACCGGCTGGTAAGGGTCTGCCAGCCATGACCCCCTCTGGAAATAAGAAGAGATATCGGGGGAGCCCACACCAGAGGGGAGATAGTAGGCAGCAGCTTGCCAATGCTAGCTCAGGAGGAGCAGCGCAAGCGGGGAGAGGCTACAGCTGGCCGGGGGTAGCTATAGAGGCTAACTGTGGAGGGTCCGAAGAGCACAGCGGAAGATCGGCAAGTCCGCTGGGAAAACAGAATGCTGGCAGGATAAAGGGTATAGCTGCCCAGGAGTAGGATGGTGATACATCAGAGAAGCCTGCTAGGAGAGGCAACGGCTAGCTAAAGCTAGGAAGTTATGCTCTAGCCAGGCACATAAGTTCCTGACTAGGGATGGGGATCGAAACCCGGTTCTATCAAGGACCCGGTTCCACTTTTTTCAAAACCCGAAAATCAATAACGTTTGGGCTTATCGATACCACTATCGAGTCTGGTCGTTTTTTGTTTTTTTTCTCCCGGAAGTCCTGTAACTCCCTCGAGTCGCGTCACAGCATTTAAATCTAATCAATCCAATCACTGAAGCATTTCCACCAATGTTTTGGAATGAAATTGTAAGCAAACAGATATTAAAAGTAAAACAAGTGAAGTATGGCAGTTAACTTTGCTCGCGACTCGAGGAT